GCTTTGTGAAGGCAATTATTTTATAATTGAGTGGAAAGACCCATAACAAAAACAATACTCAACAGCAACTCGACAGAGTTCTGCCGCACTGAAAACATCGCTCGTCATAACCACTCCAACACTTATCAGCTTAATTTTGGGCACACCTGCACAATATAAAAATTTAAAGCTTCTATTCTTCTACAAGGAATATTTCTTCATCTGAGCACCTGTCTTCCTTAGCTGATTTTTCGATTTACTCTTTCTTACTGGAACAGAGGATCGAAACGAAACAATTACTACAAGAGAACTTAAGAAGATACGTTTCTGAGACGTGGACGGCAACTGGAAGAAGCCTAAAACTAACATTGGCTCGCTTTGACGCTAATGTATCAGCCGTAAAGTCGTCTTTTGAGGATTCTAAACCAAATTGGGCCGACCAGGAATAAGAACTTTTAACTTCCGGCCGCTGTCCACATCTCAAAAACGTTTGTGCTTCAGCTCCCTTCTGATGAATTTTGTGTTACTTGAATGTCGCGTCGCCGCAAAATCACAAGAGACCAAACATTTTTTACGAACAATTTCCTTTAATCCCTTCGTTAATCACTATCGACCAAGTCCTTTTCAGGAATACTTTTCTCATACATCCACACTACGCTTCTGGTTACTTCTGGGTCGACGTTGTGCACTGTAATATCCAATATACTCCCAAAATTAGTCACCCTATTCGATGGTTACCTCAATTTTATTTTCTTTTTATTTCTTTGGTACCAGGAAACCAAGGGAAACGGCTTATCAAAACCAGCTTTTAGTGAATTCGAAACCTATTCACTTTCATCATAAACATAAACCAAGGCATCACCACAAACGACACAAGCATCATAAGCGACATGAACAGCCTCCCAAGAAACAACTGTCTGCAATCTTTGAGGAGGATGAGGTAGGTTTGTATCCTCAGCGATATGTGCCGTACCAGGTCCCTTACGAAAAATACAACGGTCAAATTTAGGTAGCGCAAATGGATCAATTCTAACCATTCGTGCGCTAATTTCAAGCGTAAACTTTTCTGTCTTCCAGGCCGGACGGACTTCTCCATCAGCTGAATATCCAGTAGGTCCCATTCCCTCGAGCAGCGAGGATGAAGAGCCTGGTATATCTTTTGAGGCAAAGCCAAAGGGCAGAATAGGACGATATCCTTCCTTTGAAAGGTTGGTGTGTTATCAAAAGTCAGTGTAACCAGTAGCAAAGGCTTCTGTATCCCTTGTTTCCGAGATTCAGTGGTAGCCAGTATATATGAGTTCGGTTTTCCAATTTAAATCCATTCATCCAAGACCTAGTCTCGTACACAGCCTTTCTTTGGAATGTCACACAACGCTCCTCCTAATTTTTTCGTGACATCCGAAATAACGGTTCGCAAAACTAAAAGATCACAGTATTAAACAACTTGAAACTAAAGAAGTCTGAAAAAATGCAAAACTTATCAGTGGCACGAATGTGCAAAGTTGGAGACGGATTACAGTTGGGTGAAAAACGTCGGCCCTACTTATCAGGATAGATTATAAATGGATAGGAAGGAGCAACAAATTGCATCTGATAACTTCCAAATGCGGTTCTTGATCTCAACATAAATAAATCAAATAGAGCCACTTCAAGGAGTAGTAACTGTTACAATATCAATGCAGTGCCATAAAACAGGTGATGGTCGCCGGTACGCAAAGGTATTCAGTTGGACTGTGTGATCTTGATAAAGCACAAAATTATCCCAATGTACTAGCCACATAAACTTCTCTTATTTTTTTTTCTTATTATTTTTCTCTTCTCTTATTTTCTTTCGCGCTTTTACGCTGTCTAAGACCTGCAGTTTCCACAAAAATGTGCCTTGCATTTCCATTGCAAACGATTTGCTGATGTGTGAAATGCATGCTCTTTTATTTTTTATTAGCAAAGACGCAGGTCCTGGCGAACCACTCCTTAAGAATGAAAATAATGAAGATGCCAAAGAAAATGACGACAGTAAACCCACCGAAGATTCACCGACAGAGCCTGGTAGTGTTCCCTTGGATTCGTTTGTGGTGCAAGTAGATAATGACGAAGGAGAAGAAAAGATTGCTGAAAGCAAAATGTAACGACGGAATTAGGTTTAATGTAGAATCTTTCCTTTAAGGTAAAAGTAAAAGAAAATGAAATAAGTATTTTAAGCGCTTACTTATGACAAGTAACGAAGGTATAGAAAGTGTGACAACTGGTAATAACGTCTCGCGTAACGTTTCACGTTACCGAACGATTCTCTTTATTTATTGAAAAGCATGCGCTGTCTGATCTAGCAAGTTGAAAGGCATGGGAAATGACAAAATTTCAGCAAACCTATTCGTGCTAACAAACCTGTGAAAAAATAAGCTAAACCACGCATGTTACTGCCCTGATCAAAGACGGCGAAGAAAAAAAAATGTTCGCTAAACTGTACACATTGCAGCTGATAAAACTCAGTTTTCCTGTTAATTTTTTGTATTGGAAAATTATTATCTAGTCTAACTTTCACTTCTAAAAACTTTGAGTTTTGCTGTTTTTGTTCAATATTGGTCTTATGTAGACAAGACATATAGGAATTGAATTACATTTCTTTTGGAAGTCAATAAGTCTTTTTTTTTGTAGTAAAGTTGACAGAAATGCAAAGGATATAAAAGCATAAGAATTCTTTTTGTTATTTTTTAAAATTTTGTCTTGTTAATTCTTGTAAAGAAAAGAAAAGTTTTCACAATGTGGCCTTTAGTTGTCCTTAGCAGTTTAATTTGCTTATCATTTAAATTTTGCCAGATATTTGACTCAAGTTTTACTCATGTATATGCATAAAAAAATACACCAAAGTAGACTTTATTGGCTTTGCATGATAAGTTATTGAAGTGGAATATTAGGGATGTTACTCACTGTGAATTTGAACCTAGTCAAGTCTTTATTGCTTTGCAAATTGGATCACACATGGAAGGGTCACATCAAAATGAACCAATCAGGCACATTAGTATGAACTACAGTACTTTAAAACCCCAAAATGGTGATCATCAGAGTATTTAAGGATTGTTATTGTAGAAATGATGAATAAGGAAAGAGCCAATCAGTGGGGAGAAAACTAAACTGCAACACCAACCATAATTTGTGGTTTTGATGATTTTTTTTTCTCATGGCCTGAACTTTAACCCCTTAACTCCCAGAAGTGATTAACATGAAACTTCTCCCTATCATATTCATACATAATCTGGCAAACAAGTAATGAGAATACTCAAAAGTATCAGGTAGAAGTCTTTATCCTGATCAAATACTTAATTCTCATAAATTATTTACAAGAAAATGTTTAGCAGCTAGAGGTGAGAATTGATAATCAGATCTTGGGAGTTAAAGGGTTAAAATGATTGGTTGGTATACAGTTGACTTGTCAGAACCAAAAAAAGTTTTTGACCATTTCTGAGTCTCTCATTAAGTCCCACTGATCCATTTTGCAAAACAATGTAAACTTAAAACTTAAAACCACTCAATTTTTGATTGGTGGTTTGCAATTTAGAGCTGTGTTTGAATTTCATTACCTGTAAATGTTTTTGAAATATTAACTAAGCTAGTAATCAAAGTTTGAAATTCAACCAGTTCTTTCATAGACTGTTACTGTTCATTGAATTTCACCTTAAATATGAATTTGTTAGGAGAATTGGGTAAAACTGAGAAGGGGGCAACCCCCATAAATTGATGGGTAACCTGAAGATACCCATCAGTATTAAACTGTTTTAAAGGAAATAATCTTAAAATTGCAGTTGCATGCTACTTAATATTTAAAAACCAGGCAAATAGTTGGTGAAAATACAGGTTTAATGCTATTTAATGGTAAAAATTAGCAGGTTTTTAGTAAGTAGTTGTTGTAATTAGACGTAGTTAGATGTAGTAAGATGTGGTAATGTTTTTAAATAAGATTTAGCTATTTATTAACATGTGGAAATGCCAGGCAATTATTTAGAGTTAAATTAATTATTGAAATTGTGGAAATGCCACATTGAGGTGGTAAAATGAGACAATTGCAAGAAGAAGACATGCACAATTGTTTACTTTAAGCTAATAGCTGTTTGCAATGAAAGTAGAGAATGGCCAGTAATATACTGGCTGTAAATTACTAGAATGATTAATTAATCAATAAATTTTGTAGTTTTTAAGAAAATAAACCTATTTTTGGATATTTATTTGTTCCTTTTGTCTGTTCTGTATCCATTTTGGCATTTGCCAAGTGAAAAGAACTAAATGAAATGCATGTAAAACACTCGTCTCTTTTGCGAAAATATCCACCAGAACACCATGGGTTATGTAAATTTTGATCACCCAGTCTACTGGTACAACACAAAGACATAGCCAAGAATAACCAGCATTACAGTAAGAGTTGAGTGATCACAATGGGTTTTTTCCCATTTCTATGGACTTTTGCAATGGCTTATGCTTGGGAAGGGAGAGTGCCCGTAGTCTAGAAATTATGTTCCCTTGTTTTTAAACTTACACATAGTTATTCAAAGTACATAAGTTAGACTATGTAATCACTGCGGGCTAAGTGGCCTAACCACTGTCTTTTTGAAATAGGAAGACATTCCTTGAAAAGTGGCATTCCTCCAATAATACATTTCTCTAAAGAAAGGAAAATGGTAACAGGAAAAAATGATGGGTTTGTGGATAGATAGATTTGGCCTTATCTGCAAAAAGCTTGCTGGTATCATGAACACATTAAGGGTCAGACTGTGCACAACAGTGGCACATGTTTAAAAAAAATTTGCACTCCTAAGAAGAAGCCAGTAATCTCCTAGTGCATACAGCAGCCTTTGACAAGATGAGTAACTGAAAATCTTTCTTATTTTAATGGCAAAGGTTAAATATAACCACTTTATACCTTTTCAAGGATTCCCTCTTGATTTGTGACTCGTGGGAAAATAAATTCATATCATATTAGCCTTGCCCCAGTATGGAAAACAAATTTAATTGATATTGAACATTTCACCAGTTTTCTTAGATCTACTGTTCTGCTGCAATCTCCTGTAATTTTCATGACAGTTCAGTTCTTTAACAAGAAATCTCACAGAACCAGACAAGCACAAGCACATGATTCCTCAATAGTGACCAACAAAGTGCAATGTACATTTAGAATTCACCATTTGTCCACACTTATAGGCAACAAGACCCAGCAATTAGAATCTCTTCAATCCAACAGTCCTGTCAAAAAGAGTAGGTTGAAGGAAGTCTCCATCTTTGTCCATAAGGAAAAAGAAACGATGCCCTTTTATCTTCAGTGACACATGAGCCTTTGTCCCTAAAAAGAAAAGAACCAAGCATGAGAAATTTGTTGACCACAAGAGTCTAAAAGGGAGATCCAAGTTAGCCTACAGAACAGGTAAAACCTTTTTGCCTTTTAAAGGCAAAAGGAGACAAGCGCTAGGCAAGTGCAAGGCGAGTGCAAAGCACAAAAATAATACTTATTTTTTTGTGCTCCTCCCCTTACACCTGACTTGGACTTTGCACCACCTTGCACTTTGCCAGAAAAGTAAAGAAAACCTAGCAAGGGCAATTATGGAATTACTTTCAACATTCAGCTGAAAACTGCTCAATGATCGGATTGATTACTTCCCAAGTGGACTATGAGCAGTTCCGCTTTCTCATTTAATCACCAGAGGAGTCAAACATATTAAAGAAAAAAAAATCAGCCCTTACTGTATGAACACTCAAAGCCATAAGCACACTGAAAAAGGGGATTCCAAGCAAAGAGAGGGGGAACACTTCTTCACAAGTCATATGGTATATCTGCAATCTTATTCATGAATGACCTGAGAATCAAATTTATGAAGGCTAATCTCTTAATATGATAGGTTACCTGTTCTGGAACTTCCACAGGACACATCAGAAATTGGCACTGTAAATGACCGTGTACCTCCCAAAGGGGTGTGTGTTACCACCCTTAAATTGTTTCCTTGAAGGACCAGCCGATTTATACTCCTGTGATTGTGCCATACATTTGTATATGAAAATCAAAACAAAACAAAATATAGAATAAGTCATGATTCTCTGATTTTGATCACTTTATAGCAGAAATCATGATTTTTCAAACTGAAAAAGTTCACAATATTTGTAATATCAAGAATGGTTTAAAATATTTAATGACCTTTCAAACATGTCAAATGCACACATTAAATTAATACCTGAAACTATAAAGAAACCCAGATGTGGTGAAAAACAGTCCCATAACCACAGCAATACCAGCCAATAATGCAGGATTGTCCTAGAGATTGTCAACAGACAAAGCATGACTTCAATCCTTATAATGTAATTAACACTAATTTCTCCTGATAGTAGAATAAATTCTCTTTGTCAGTGCCATAGGAAATGTTAAAGAAGCAGTATGAAGAATATGCATACTGATATGAGGGTGCAAATGGTTAATATGTTTGTTATATGTTCTAACATGAAAGGAAGATGCAGTGATTAGCTACCTGGACTCTAGATTTAAAGGAGAGAGCTGGGTTTCAGTCCTCATCATTTCATTGTGTTTTATTCTTAGGCAAGCATGTGAGACACTTCTCTCTCAAAATTCCCTCCCTCCACACTAATGATTATTTCAACAGGCATCCAAACCATTTCAACAAGAGAGTAACTCTGTGGATAGTTATAACTGACCTCCATAAATCTTACAATTTTCCATGAACCTTTTGACTTTGAAGTAACATCAAGAATCTCATCCTGGCTTCTGTTCCTTTTAAGATTTACAAGGTCGGCCAATTTTACTTGGCTTAAATTGAAATATGCCATCCATGACCAAAAGATAAACTGGCTGGCACAAGCAAAGCCAACCAGACGGAAAAATTTCTGGCGATTGTAGTAATAGAGTGTCACATCTTTTACGTCTGTTTCCTTCTTCTTGGCATACGATGACAGCCTTACTTCCCTTAGGTTCTGAAGACAGTGCAAAATTGATAACACAATAAACCAAAATAAAATTAATGATTGTGAGTATATGAAAATCACATCTAAACCAGAATGCTTCTATTACAGCTATACAAAAAGATTTTCCTTTCAAAACTTAACCAATATAGATTATGAAAAACTTAGTTTAGTTTAAATTTTTGCTTTTATTTTAGCTGTTATCTTAAATATCCACTGAAAGGTATTGTGTTTATCATTTGATGGTTTCTCTAAATTATGCATGTGCATTTTCAGAGCAGATTAAAAAAAACTGGCTTTGAATAGTTTGGTGCTTCCTTGTAAACAAATTCAGTTGAGCTTATATTAGGACTGCCTGGCATAAGCTTTCACCGGTCACTACTGTTAGAACTGAACAACATACAACTTCTTCTCAAAACGTCATAAATTTACAAATATACATAAATACTCTTATATTGTCTAATTAGTTAGCTTTGGTTGTAGGAGCTTTCCCGCAAACAAGTAAAGGTAATTAATAAATAACGCAGTTATCAGTTAGAAGGCGCTACTTCAAAGTGTATCTCAATACAACACCTCTAAACCAAAGAAATAGAGAGGAGTAAAGTGCATACCTTTAAGCACCTTATGTAGTGTAAGATTGAGACTGATGGTGCCTTTCTTTGAAGAAAGGAGATAGAGAAGAGAAACATTGGGATTGCTCAGCTGTCCGCCATTTTGAGAGTTATTTAGTGCCAGTCTCCACGCTAAATTGTCCGACCGATGACGAAAATGTTGGACACTCCACTGTGCGGGAGATATTTGTGCGTGCCAAAAGTATGAATCCTAAGATCAAAATCAGTCGTTAGTGCAAGCAAAATATCTTTATCGTAAACAAATTTAGTTAATGGTATAAAACGGCCAATCATTAGTGCTGAACCCCAATCGTTTGTGTTGTTGCACTAAACATAGCTCTAAATAGAAATCACTGGTGTTCTGAGGCATGGGCAGATCGATAGAGAAAAAAAGATAAATCGTATTTTTAAGCATCAATCGGTAATTTTAAACCTTTATTGCTTAAGTCACTTTTAAAATACAGCAATCATAACAATGTCAATCACCGGTATTGCCACCAATCGTTTGTGAGGAGTAGAAATATATCGCTACCGATCATATATTAAACCATTGAAAAAGGGATTTATTATTCCACTGTTATTTCATTTTATGGTATTTTGGTGTTTAGTTTTCGGAACAAATCATACGGCAGTATTTCAACATCTTATCGATCGCATGGGTTTTAAGTATTCAAAACAATCCAACTTTTAATCGTTTATTCTTCTGCGCACACCCGTCGGTTCCAGGCCTTTTTCACTGCAACCGGAAGTAACTGTTGTGAGCAGCAAGGCACACATAGCGCGAGTTGAAATAACACTTACGACGCTCGCATCACTTTTAGGCTGACTAGGTGACTTGTACCTCACTTGGCAACAAAGCGTATTCGAAGACTAAACTTGTTCGTTTCCCCAGGACGCTCTCTCCAGTTAGTCAGTGAAAGAACTGCAGCTCAAGAAGCCCGTTCAGACTCCCCCCCTCCCCCAGATCAACAGCGTATCTGGACCATGTTGTTAGAGAGGAGCCCATTTTCCGGCGCTTCAGGGTGGGCTGAGATTCGCTACTAGTAAAATAACCTAAATATACTTGTGCTGTTGATTCTAATTCGCAAGTCTTCTCTCTATAAATTACAAATGTCACTGTAAAAAAGTTTAGAGAATGAAGTGTTACATCAATAAAAGATCTTCCATCTGATAAATTTATTTCTCCTTTAAGACTATTGTCTGAATAGTATATTGGTATAACTGTAGGGAGACGTTACACGTTAAAGAATTTTTAACTGTCAGAGTCTGAGAGTGAAAGAGTTGAAGCAGACACACGATGCATGAACGGGAAATTCTGAAATAAAAAGAACAAAGATGTATTGTTATTCTATTTAAGGAGAAGTAGCTGGAAAGCGGTATAATTCTGTTTGAACCAATTTAAATCATCAACTCGGTTGATAAAACCAAATTATCTTGCTACAGCCCCCAGCGACGCAGCACCACGGTCTCTTTAGAAACTCAATCGCTATAATCAAACCTTCCTGTTGAATCGCTGCAAAGTAACGACTTCTTAGCTTCCCTCCTGTACACAACATCCTCTTTCTTTAAGCTCACGCGGGCTCATTTCCCGAACAACGCCTTACAATAAAGCCTGCGGTTTTAGTAGCACAGAGCGATGGGGTGTTTCCTAATCATACCGAAGCCAAAGTTGGATACATCAAGAGAAGACTTTATGACACATTTTTAATGGGGAAAACAAAGATTTATGTATCCAGTTTTTAAAAATTTCTCCTTTTTGTACGGCGGTATGTTTTCCTTCTCTTTTGTTAGCGGCGTTAACCAGTTGTCTCTACATACTGTCTCTACCTTTAGATAGTAATAACGAAGAGGTCTGATGTGCTTAAGGGGAGAAAGCGAGCGTGAAGCCACACACGCTAGCGTTGATGGCTTCAAAATCCCAAATTGAGGGCAAAAAGTTGTTTCGTTTTAGCTGCTTCCTTAGCAAAACGAGCTCCTCACTTGTAAATACTATCCTTGGTCATTCGAGCCTATTCCCGTTTGTATCCTCAAATAATTGTAACATGCCCTTTGATGTTCTGAAAAAACACATTTTAGATTGAGACAAAGTGCTTTCTGCCTCAGGAAACAATTATTTGAAATTTATATTCTAGATAACCAGGTGAGACTGTTGTACGTGATCCTGAATTGAAGTTCGCGCTAACCTGACAATTAAAGAGATTTGAGTGTCACTCGATTCAAATTTATTCAATGGTGAATATAGTGAATATGACAATGAAAAAGCTCCAATCTTTAACACTGAAAGTGTTGTTTTAGGATATTAGCCATGTGTTAAGATAAAATACGTATTGCTTTAAATGTCACGAAGCAGTTACATCATGCTATATAAAAAACAATCGCTCGCTCTAAAAACCGAAAAGATTTACCTCGTGATTGATAGTTACATTGAGAAACAATTAAAAAAGGAATTTCAATTGAAATGTCAAGTATGTCATCAACAGTCAATATAAATTGATAGAAAAGATTTCAAAGAAGCCCTTCTACAAAGTTCTCTTGCAAATAATTAACTCCACTTCTGCCGTCTTTTCGACCTAATATGCAAATTGTGAAGAGCGAAAAAGAAAAAGAAACTGAAAAATTCGTAGAAAGACGTCAAGATGAAATCTAGAGGTTTCGTGTTCACTGAGATTTATTTCGATTGATTATCACACTAATTTACTACATTTATGAACCAAGTATTTATAATTTCCTTTAATTTGAGGATGTAAATTGCATATTTCATTTTGCAGTTCGCAGGATAACACCTTTTCAAACAGATTGAGGAACTCCCAAAGGATAAAGAAAAACAGGTGAGATTTCCCACAAAATTATTTACTCGGGGAAGCTTGTTTACAACAAAAGCAGTTTTAGATGTTTATTAAGTATTGGAACTAATGTGACTAGCCCAGTGTTGCGCTGGCGGGAACGTGCAATCACTTGAGTTCTTTCGCCGATAATTGTTGATGCTCTACCACACTTGGGGGTTATCTTTTCATGACAAGGCTTTGCAAACAAAGTATCAAAATCTTGTTATAGATTCTAATTACCTCCAGTGACAGTCCTGGAGCCTCAAACCGCCGTCAAAGTGGCTTACATTTGTAATAATACTCTGAGATGAGAGTTTTCAATGCCAACAATTGATATACATGGTCGAAGATTATTGTATCCGGATAGGGAAGGAATAAAAGAAAGGATTTAATCAAATAGAACCGCCACAATATAGTTTGCGGTCAACTTTCGATTCACGCGGTCCGAATTTTCATCGCACTAGAAAATTTTCTTGCCCTTAAGGGATCAGGAAACTCAGTGCACGTCTTAAAGATATCTAAAAAAAAAGTTGCAAATTCTGAAACTGAATATCACATTCAAAATCATGTAAATGTTGATTTTATTTGTTTAGAAAAGTTTCCGGCAGAAGCCGGCATATTCTTTTTATTCCAAAAGTATTTAAGTTTCGTTGTAATTTGATGTTTATCTGTCTTCAGTCTCTACGAGAAGAAACCAAATTGTATGTTCATGTGGTGAAGGCTCAACTAATCGCTTCAAAAGCGAAATATTCTCCAAAAGAAAAAAAAGGGGAACTCTTGCCTCTGACGAGCTGAAACGATCTCCGAACTACAAGTGAACGTAAGTTGATGGTAACCGATAAAAAAACATCAGCATCATTTTAAAGTCACGAAAATCCATTTTCATCTAAAAGCCGACAGGATATTGACCACAAAGAGAAAAAGAAAATATCCAGCTCTTTGGCATTAAAGTGTCACTGGTTAGAAACCAAATCATGAATTTGAACAACAGCACGGCCATAATGGTAGCTGCCAATACAGGTAGCTCGCCGGCGATTTTGTCGCACAATTTCTACCTTGTTACAGCAACTGTGCTTATACTTGTCGTCATTGCCGCCATCATTGGAAACATATTGGTGTGCGTGGCTATTCTGGTCAATAACCAGCTGCGTTCATCACCCACAATGGTTTTCATTTTTGCCTTGGCCGTGAGTGATTTGTTGACTGCGTGTCTCTCAATGCCTTTTGATGTCGACCAGCAACTCACTAACTTCAAATGGACCTATAGCGAGGGGCTCTGTCAAGCATGGACAACTGCGTACCTTACCACCGTGCCCTCGTCTATTTGGAACCTTTTGGCGGTAAGCGTTGACCGGTACAAGAGCCTTAAGGACCCTTTGAGCCGCTACAGGCAAAGCCCCTTTATGACGCGTAAGCGAGCGGCTCAAGTTGTTGTGCTCCTGTGGATTTACTCAGCAGTCTTCGCTCTAATACCTGTCATGGGATGGAAGTACCACTCTGTAAGCGTCAGAAATAACTCGTGTTACTTCAACATAACAATAACCTACTCCATACTGAGCTCATTCATAAACTTCATCTTCCCACTTCTGGTCATGTGCTTTTTGTATTACAAAATATTTATGATAGCTCGAAACATAAACAGCGACACATTTTCCCAACTCAACGGTCGCTCATGGGGAAGATTATCCAACGAAGCTACTTCAACAGAAGATGTTTGTAAAATCACCAGGCGCACCAAGCGATGTGACAAGAGATTCAAACAGAACATTAAAGCTGCTAAAAACATCTTGATCATAGTTGCCGCATTTTTCCTTTGTTGGATGCCTCACACGCTTCTTAGCTTGACCTTCATTTTCCACGGGAAAGAGTTGGCACACAGAATTCCCATGGAACTGTTCACAGTATTCTTGCTCCTGGGATATTTGAACTCCGCTCTAAACCCACCTCTGTATACATTCCACAACAAGCGGTTTAAAGAAACCTACATAAAATGCCTCGGGCTCAAGAGACAAAAGACTCCGCCTTTAAATCGATTCTCGAACGTCACGGCCTTGAGCAACATCGACTCGAACCATTCGGGGTCTCCGACGCCAAATACAGACAATGAAAACAATATGGAAGAACATATTCACATGGATGAAAACAGTGTATAAAGTCAAAGTTCAGCTCGCGGACATCAGAATCCTGGCCTCGAATGATCAGCGCACCTAAACAGCCGCCCAAACAAGGGATTGTATTACAAATCCTCGAGGTTCTTTCACTGGTTCTGCGCCAGAAAATTACTTAATCAGATAAACGCATTCGAAACAAGATTCCGTGTTTCATGTATTATTGACATTACTTGATAGTTTTTTTTAAACCATATATCAAAATGAGCTGCTCAACGTTGACTCCTCAAGAGACGAGCTTTAGTGTTAGAGAACAATACTAAAACTTTTCAAACGGAAAGTTTTTAAAACTCTCCATTTAGTACTATTTTTCATCCACCTTGTGGGAGAAAGACAGTCTCAACTGGAAATGTGTAACGACACTCTCTTTTGGAAGAGCTAAGTATATAACATGAGGGTGGAATTATTATTTAATCGACTTAGACACAGTTCAAAACGTCACTGATATTCGACTTTGCAATGAAAAGTAGATATGGCACAGTTACAAAAATGTATCATGAACAACAGTCACTTTACGTGCATAATTTGCTGATAGAGGAATTAAATTCTCCAATAATTGCCGATATTTCCTACGCCCTCTCAGTTTCCAGATATACATTTGGAAGACATCTTTCAATTTTTGTCATTTAAGCCCGACAAAACGTTTTAAAAGATTTCTCATGGTTGCTGTGGTATAGGCGGTTCTTTTACTGTTATTTACACAAAAAAAATAAGAAAAAAACACATATTTGTTATTCTAGGCAGAGTTACTTTTTATCTGTAATCATACCGCCCCCTGGAGCTCCCATTAGTAAGATAAATATAAAAACAACCCATGTTGCCAAATTATAATGCTGAATTCAAGCTTTTCCCTTTCTATATAGGCTCAAAATTGAACGAGTCTAGAAATCAGGACCAATAGATCGAAGGATTTTGATAACTTTGCGTCACTCGCCACTTAAACGCGATATCGATTTGTGTTTGATAGGAGTGCGTAGGCTGTGGTTTAATTTCAGCCTTGCTGTTCAAATCGTTTTAAAAATTTATTTAAAATCATCAATCATACATTACTGTGTAGGGAATCAAGAAAACTGAAATTTGAAGCTAGGATAGAAATTTGAACGAAACTTATACAGATTTAAACAGAAATCCTCTTTACTCTTCATGTACGAGACGTTTAGATCACTTTATATAAAAATAGATTTATTAGTAGTTACTATGAATCTGATCTATGAAAAGACCTATACTTTTTCTCGCACAAAGTCAGAGAAAACCCGTCTTAATGACTTTTTTTGCTCAATAAAAACGTCTGCCAAAACGCCTCCTAAAATTACGATGGGATTCATGTTTTGAAACCGTTAGTGTTCGAATCAATATAATCAAACAGAGACAATGCTGAAAACCATCTGTTTTGCGCTGCTTCCTGAATAAAAAGGCGTATTTAATTGATAGTGCACTTCAATAGATAAATTAGAATGTAAGATTTCATAACAGGAAAAACGCTTTTGGAAAAGACTTTATAAACTTCTCAGGAAAAATAACACATACTGAGACAATGAAAAATTGTAATTTTGCTATACACAAAGGTAAAGCCTTCTGAAACAAATAAATCTGTGACTGAGTTGTAGGCTACGTTGTATTTAATATTTTTAGAAGGAAATTCAGCATGGAATGTTTTTCGTACTCATAAAGAGATTTATGATTTAGAGATTTATTTATCGTGTCAACGATAAAGCCACTTTGTATCTGCGATGCCACTCCTTGCATAGTATAAATCAGGGTTTGTTCTTCCTAATTCTAAACCAGTTGGTCACCAACCTCATGAATAATGATTTTTAAGTCTCGAAACTTCGATGGTAATGCAGTTTTTTTTACCTTAATAGCTTTTCGCACTTTTCTTGTCTAAAAAACAGCTAACGATTTTAATTTGAACCAATGATAAACTTCTTATATGTGTACATATAAACTCTCCCACCATATCCATATAAAACAGTGGCATCATATATTGTCCAGTGTGCGAAAATAATAAAATTTCTTCGCGGTCTACACTGTGTAAGTACTCAGTACTTAGAGGACAAACTTAGTTTTATCGACTTAAGAGTTAAATATTCCATTTTAATTTATTGTTTTCAATGGACGGACGTGTATTTCCAGTTCAATTTTCACATTAATTCTTTATCGCTACTGTTACAATAACTTTTATCTCTGTATTTTGGTTGTATGAATAGGGGCTGGACAGGCTTTCTTGTCTCTGTGGCTAAAAATCCTTATTTTTCTCTGACTGAACCAAGATATTTTACTCTGAGTCATTCGTTAACTTCGCTGGTTGGGTGCATTATCTAGCTTGTGTTGTCAGTTAAGGCTGTTTCAATGAAGAAAATACTTTGGATCCAAAACGCTGTCAGAAATACATGACGCAAGCCCAGAAGTATTGCTAGATAAAATAGGAAAGCAATTACTGTAATTTGCTCGGGCCTGAGGCATAAAATGCTGAAAGTTTTCGTGATCTATTTGCACTTAAAATTGAATTTCTTTAAAAACATCAACACATTACCAAACAGAGCTAAAGAACTAATGTTCGAAGTCACAAACTCTAGAAACGAGATTTAGCTAACAATTTTTGCGACTAACTGGTTTTCAAATGATCTCCGGTAGACGGATCATTGCCTAGATGAAAATTCAAGTCAATAAAAAGGAAAATATTCAGTCAGAAAGGCTAGACTGCAGAATACCCTGCTACTCACTGACATGTTATTGAATAAGAATGGTGTCTACTGTGTTGTGCCTCGTTCTTGAAAGCCTCACGTCACATCCAAATGAGGTGGACCAAAATGGCAGGGTATCCTGCAGTTACTCCCTGGGTTGTTCCGGTGATTGTTCCGGTAACTCTTGTCTGAAATTTAGAATTTTTCGTCTGACAATTTTATGATTCAGCAGTGTTTTGAAGATAGTGTAATTTTTATATCCCGCGCGTAAAAACGTACAGTTTTTCAATACCGCACAGCTTGATTAATTGAATAATTTCACCATTTCAATTGTGTTTTTTGCATATGATGCTGTCGGCAAGAGTCAAAATTAAAATCAAACGAGTATTGTTCGAAAAGGGACTGAAATTAATATCGCCTCGGGAAACAATTTTCGGGCGTTTTGAACTCAAAACCATGGGAAGTCTTTTGATTCAAGCTTGTTAAAGAAAAAAAATTGTTCGCCTAAATGGCGGCGAATAGGGGCTGGAATTTTGCAGACGTTTTTATTTAGCACAAAAAAACATCAAGCTACACTTGGTTACAAACACTGAGGTGTAATGACTCGCGGTTAATATCATATCGGAATTGATGCGATTAAAGCATATCTGTGGATATCAGGCAAACAATCAAAGCTATAACGTGAGGGTTGCCTAGCTCTGGCCTTGAGGTATCCCTTCGTTGGTGTGCTGCGATTGGTGTCGCTTCATTAAACTGGAGCCGTGATCGATAATTTTCACCTATAAACGTCAAGTTGAAGGGTTATTTCTTGTTGTAGTCTGACAGATGATTTCCTCCTGAACATCAATTCGTCACTTACTGTCCTTCAGTGCGGAACAATCACCGGAACAACTCACTAATAAACGATAATAAATTGATGTTATGGCCAATTTTGTTTTCTAAACAGGTCATTCATTTGTGAGCTGCGCGTATCAGGAGGTTACAGTCAAGAACCTTTGGCATTTTCTTGTCAGATTCACAAGCGTGAAGTTCATTGCAGAAGTGCTAAGGATTGCCGCGCAACTCTCCCTCAGCATTAAATCTCTTCACAGCCAGAGCACTGGAGTGGTATAAATGGAATATTTCACGATTTCTACACATATGAATCTCAGTTTGTGAAATCTGCAAGGCAGGATCTGAAATCCCGAAAAACATCAGCATTAAGAACTCCAGAGACTTTGCAACGTCTCTTGGTTACATTGCCGACAGTGCTTTGTTAAAAGAACGAATTTTTGCCCTTCTTTTAGGCGAACAACGAATATCTTGCGAAGTGAAAGCCGAGCTTAGGTGGACCATTATCAGTTTGGTCAAGTATTTGGATTATTTCTTTGTACTGACCGAAAACTGATCGACACAGGACTGAGCTAATAGTTTCATTTGTAATGGTCGATCTCTCTCACCACAACAAACTCGAGGTATTTCGTAAAAATTCGTAAATCTTCGTTGTCCTATCCGTCAAGTCAAGATGAATTTCTCGGTAACAAATCACTCTGCTACGCCAGTAGTGTTATTGTGGAGTCCTGGCTTTAAGTATTTCAGTGTGACACTTTATGTTGTTATAATCACCGTGGCATTCACTGGAAATCTGTTGGCTTGTCTCGCATTTATCTTGAGTGCAATCGTTCGCATCTCACCGACGAATCATTTCATATTTTCGCTAGCTGTAAGTGATTTGCTTACCGCGTGCTTCGCAATGCCCTTCGATCTGGAACAGCTTTTAACCAATAATACTTGGTACCACGGAGAGCTCCTCTGCCAGATATGGACCACAGCGTACCTCCTCACTGTGCCCTCGTCTATTTGGAACCTTTTGGCTGTGAGCGTGGACCGCTACAAGAGCCTCAAGGACCCGCTGAACCGTTTTCGCCAGACTCCATTCATGAGCCGTAAGCGCGCAGCTCTGGTGATCCTATGGCTGTGGATTTATTCAGGGCTTTTTGCGCTTGCACCAGTCTTAGGCTGGAAACGGGTTCCTCAAAGCCTAACTGCGGTCGGTTTTTGTGACTTCAACATAACTACAGAATATTCTTTGTTGAGCTCCTCCGTGAATTTCATCTTGCCAACCGTGTTTATGTGCGGGCTGTACTGGCGAATCTACAAAATTGCGAGTGGTCTTAGCAAACAGGAGGTGCTAGATCCTTTGCAGAATTCACCTGACATTGGAAGAAAGTCGGCCAAGAGCCTGAAACGGCGGATAACGACAACAAAGAATATCCTGATCCTTGCCTGTGCATTTTTCTTCTGTTGGATGCCGCATACTGTTCTCAGCATCGTCGCGACAATCATGCTCATGGCATGTCAGTCATGTATACTAGCCATCCCCAGAGAACTGTACATTGTCTTTCTTATGCTAGGATACTCAAGCTCAGCTTTGAATCCTTATCTTTATGCGTTAAGGAATAAGCAGTTTAGGAACGCCTTATCCAGGCTTGCTCCCGCGTTCCGTTGCAAGGTTACTCCGCGGATACCTTCAACTCTTACAACCGGAAACCAAAAGTGCAGAAAGTTACTGGGTAACAACAGTACAGGACAGAGCACACTAACCCGAACCACCACTTTGTAAACTGGGCTGCCTGTGCTGAGTTTAGATTTAACCATTTTCTCGGTAATTGTTTTGTTCTAAAGCTGCCTGCTAAGGTTTTAGTCTTCCTTTGTGTAAAAAGTAGTGATTCCTAAGAACCGGGAGTGCGAAATCCCAATATATCATAAATGAAAGAGGTATTATTCGAAAAATTGTACCCTTATTGTAATTAAGTAACATTCAAAGAGCGTCAACTCTGTGGAATTCACGAGCGCTTCATATAATTTATGGAAACAATACTATATACAATCATTTCAAACTATTATCTCGGGCAACTTACAGAATGGATGTATCTTTAAAAACTGAAAATATAACCCTAAAAAAAATGGCAAACACTCATTACTCAATCACTTTAGTGACGTCCACGGTATTTCAGTTTGAACGTCACGTAAAGATATTCAGGGCTGGGTTGTTCGTGACCCGATAAACATAAATCCAGGCCTGAATCAACATCGTGAGGAAAATGATTAAACGTTTCATTTTATCTACAAAACCACGATGGACAACAATATTTTTATGACATCAACCCCAAGATGACTACGTATACAAAACCCATAGGTTGCCATGACAATCAAACCAGTATTAGAGCGAATCTTGCTTCGAACGACACGGTCAAGGAGAAAGAGATCAACGGAATACTTGGAAAGTGGAATTTTTTTTTTTTTAGGAGGAAAAATTTGAAAGGTGTGTTTTACGCTAATTTTTCCTTTTAGGTTCAGTACTATCTACTGTGTAATTTATTATGTTAAAAACCACTCAGCACTGTCCTATTTTTAGTGAATCAAGGAGAAAGTTTATAAACAAACGCTGAGAGTTGAATAATTGTTGTCGCTTTGAAATGACACCAAATCCACAGAAGACAATATTGTCATAGAAACAAAAATTAATGGTGAAAGCGCTCATAAATCAAATGTTAGAAATTGAACAAGCTTTGATGACCATTGGGAGAGAGATTGCAAAGCAATTTCATTCTAAAAGCAAAAATCAAAACACATTAAAATATTTTGAAAGTTTTGTATAAATGTCGCGCACAAAAGCTTTCCCAACGATTCTTCAAATTATCCCATCGTTTCGTTTCATATAAATTATGCAATATGAAACTTTGCATAGATAAAACGAAAGCGGTTTCTGTTTAACTTTGTTTGATATTTGGAGTCAGAAGTCTTTTTGGATAAGCTTGAGTGTTTTTCCTTCAGCCATCTAAAAATTGCTTTAATAGCATGTTATAGCTGTCGAGATAATCTCACTAGTAAATATTTCTGCTTAGGTCGTAGATGAAAGATGTCAGTCAAAATTAGAGAGATGATGCGTAAATAATTCTAGAGTAGTGACCTTTGAACTGCTGTAGCTTTGACAACAAACTAGTAACAGCTTAATTCCCAACTATGGCTGTATCGTGAGGAAAATATGTTACATATTGAAGTTACATTCACTATATTTCCTAGACTTGACATTACCCACCGTCCAAGATCCGAAGAAAATTCATCAAACAATGGCAATATAGCTTAGCAATCTTAAAACTGTTTAGTGAAAAAGAAAAAAAATGTAATATCAGTTGCACTCCTGGCGCCAGTTAATGGCAACGGTCGTAATAAAAGCTGATGTTGGCCTTCTGTTGATAATGCACGTCTTACAAATTTCTGTTTAGCCTCGTTTTAGATTTAACCGTTCAGGAACCTTTTTTATTGGGTTAAATGAAAGGATTTCCGTATCCTCTCCTTAAGTTGTTTAGTCATCCAGTGCTCTTATTAAAGTATTTCAACTAAAAGCGGAAGAATATGTATCACAAAAAACCTTCTGAAGTATAAAGTACAAAAGAATTTGAACCACAGATGTTATATCACTTTTGAAAGAGGGTTGAATTGAACCAATATTGATTGTGTCACGGAATACGTTTCGGTAAGAGTGTCTTAAACTGTCCGAAAGATAAACAAGGTCTGCCCTGTTGAGAACCTGAAAAATTTTGGGGCAACTTTCGTGAAGAGTAGAGGAATCTCAAACAACCAAGACAACTGACTGCAACCAGTCTTTCCCTCTTGTTGTTCGAAAAACATAAGAACTTGCCAGTTTTAGTCACTTAAGGAAGATATTGTTATTGTATAAGGGCAAAGCACAGAAATTATTTCTTTTTTAGCGAGCTGTGCGCTTTTACCAACGCAATGAGTGATCAAAAGAGAGATTAAAAGTGGCCAAAAAATACGTTTTAATTTCTGCAGAGGTACGCACGCTTTTGAGGATACAAATAGAAAGTGACTTGAGTCTAACTGTTTATGGCATTCATTCTTGAGAACAAAGGAACTCTGAAGAGTGCTCTCACGTAATGGAATCTGATCATTAATTAGAAGAGCAGAGTATAACAATGCATTCCCATTTACTCGCATTATATCGCGCTGTTATCGTGTCCTTCACAACACTCTACAGCTGCGCTCGCACGATTTGGGAAAAAAAAAATGAGCAGCTTTACGACCAACGCTTCGGATGAAGCTCATAATACCACATCGAAATCCCCGGTGGGACCTCAGGGATATTTGAACTTTTCTAAGGAATTCACCGTATTCATAGTGACTGCTTTTATTGTTATCATGGTGGCGGCGATCATTGGTAACACTCTGGTTTGCACCGCGACACTTTTCAGCCCAAGCTTGCGAAAAGCTACCACAAGTCTTTTTATCGTATCTCTGGCCGTGTCTGATCTTCTTGCAGCCATGTTAGTGGTTCCATTCGACGTCTATGTCATTCTCAACAACGGGCTGTGGTTTCATGGAGAAGCAGCCTGTAAACTTTGGACCACCACCTACCTGCTGACTGTTCCTGCCTCGAATCTCACTCTGTTGGGCTTGAGTATCGATCGGTACCTCACCTTAAGCCAGCCTCTGAAACAGTTCCGCAGCGGAAAGGAAACGACTAGAAGTCGCATCGTCGGCTGCATGACAGCTCTGTGGGTGTACTCCCTCGGTTTCTCCATTTTGCCTATGACGGGTTGGACATTCTGGCGTTTTAGGACGAAAAGCGTCAACGGTAGTATATGTTTCTTCAACGGTTCTCACCTATACAACATCTTAGTGTCTGTGCTGCACTTCATTGTTCCTTCATTGGCTATGTGCGTGGTTTATATCATGATCTATGGCCAGATCCGTCGCCACACTAGAGCTGTTCGACCTATTGATTCCCCAGTGGCGCATAACACCCAAGCAAACCTCCTGCTTCAAAGGAACATCAGAGCAGCTAAGCGGATTGCGGTGATTGTAAGCGTTTTCTTACTGTGCTGGTTGCCTTACAGCATCCTCAGCATCATTGGTAACCTGTGTCACGAATGTCTCCTTAACATACCGCAAGAAGCCTTCTACGTCACCCTCGTGACGGGCTACCTAAATTCTGCTTTAAACCCTGTTCTTTACTCATTCAACAACAGAAACTTTATGGACTCTTACAGAAGATTATTCAGAGCGGTCAGACGTGGACTGGGCAGAGTAGGCAGTCTGAAATAAGAGATATTTCTTAATGAAGAAGGATAGTTTAACTGGTTTTTTACTCAGTCTTTTTAATTTTCATTCATAAGTGGATTGCAAAGAATTTGTTGAACAAAGTGAGAGAGATATTCCTCGATCCAAATGGAGGGTCAGGCGACTCTCTGAATAGCATTTTTCGTATTCTCTCACCGGTTTTGAAATATCTGCGCGATAAGTTGAAAGGTGTTGGTTCTTACTTCAAGATTACCGTGCGGTAGGTATACCCATTGACAAGTAAGCATCACAAACTTTTACTTAACAGCCTCTTGCGGCAAATTAAAGGTCGCATATCACCTTAAAAGCAACGGAAGTAACGACTCCATCTCCAACAATATTAATAAAGATATACCTATATTGTTTCATTGTTTCTTTCACGAAGATTTTAGAAGAGAGCGCTCTGGGACTGACAAGAAAGAAAATCACGTTATCGAAAAAAATTGTCTCGATCACCTTGTAAAAAGGAGTGGAAACAGGAATGACACAGAATCTGCAAGCCATGCAAAATCTGTCCTGTAATCGGCATTGTTTATAAATACGTACTTACTCATCAATCGCCTGACTACACTCTAAGATTGCAATTAAATGACACGGCTCTTTTTTCCGAGGAGCCAAATAGACAACAAGCGTATGTTCGTGTACTTTGTAAGATATTTTTTTTTTCTTTTTTTTTCATAAGAAGTATTCTTTTAGGAATGGTACACTGTAACAAAAGGTTGAACTTGTCTTTAATATTTCATTGACAAACAGTGTAAAGACGTGTGTTAGTTTTGATATTGGACCCAACATTCCCATATTTATCGTAAAACATGAAGTCATTTTCAAAAAGTGACACAAACATATTTTATTTAAAGTGTATGAGTGTAAGAACCTTAGCTTTTAGGCTAGAATTATCTCTAAAATATGTAAAAAAAACTTAGAAATGTCTGGTTGTCAAGGATAGATTGTCCAGTTCCGAGTCTGTTTGCGTTTAATAAAAATAATTGCAACTGGAGCATTGTCCGAGTTCCGTATTTAACAGCCTGCGACGGAATGATTGTCAGTCAAGATTGAAAAATTTTAAAATTTATTTCCTTCTAATTATCCTTTCTCAGTTCTTGAAGTTTAATAGGTATGGTTCTGCGTTTTGAAAATTCCATGATGTTTTCCACTAAACAATATTAATGTTTGTCATGATATCTCTTTCGATTACGTCAAGTTCTGATGAATCAACGCGAAAACAGAAAGAAATTCGTGTTTACAGTAGAAGCTGTTACCAATATCGGAATTGAAATATGAAATAAATCGATTGCCTATATTGTGCATTAATTTTCAATAAAAACAAAGAGCTTTCGATCCTTTTCTTGACTCTTACAATGTCACGTAGGAAGTCCAACCCTTCTTTATTCACTCTAATTATTGGATTAGAGGAAAAGTCTTGTGTCAAATAGTTCTCTTAAGTTACTTGCAGATCCTTGCATTTTTACAGGATAATAATTCCGTAGCCGATGAGAATCTATCATAGCTTGGCTTCGAAAATAAGCAAAGGAACTTCCTTACGCGACCTGCGTTGGCGGGTTGAATTGAATCACCCACGATTGGTTACCTGACCTACGACATCTACTAAAGTCAAAAGTCTTCGCAGAGATATTCTAGCACCGTCTGCCCCTCTATCCGGGTGGCCTTTTGCGGAAACCCACAAAACATTAATGAGTGAATATTCCATTTAAACATCTGACTTTTTTTTGTTTGTTTGTTTGTTTTTATTAAGCGTTAAAGCCCCATATATTGGACGTTGTGTAAAAATATTCACACCACTGTAATCCTTATGTTTAGGTTTTGGTTGGTGGCGGGGATTCCTCGTATCAAATCCATGAGGTTTAAGATGTGAATAGGCTACCCAGGTTTGTTTAGAGGTCACGACCTGTGCTCGTTTACAGAGATCTTTTAAAAATTTGGTTTGATGTTACAGATCATTAATCACTCTGAAAGTTATTGGTTCGTTGTTAACCTCAAACTATCATGTTGAATTTTTACGCCTTCAGATGAAAGATAAGTTTGAAGCTAGAAACTAATGTAATCGCAGTGTTCAGAAAGTTTTTAAAATGAACTGTGTTAAAAAAATAAGCATACTGACCTGCCACATACAGATCTGACCTTAACCAGCAGCCTTAAAAGTTTTGAACATCTGAAGTTGGTGCTTATATCAAGTGATGCTGTCAGTCGTCGGAATTATAGCAGTAGCCTTTCATGACCTCCGAACATATGGAAGAGACAATGCCAAGCTAAAATTTGCTTGGGATCCCTTCCAGATGCCAAAGATACCTTTTCATAATGGAAATAATATTTTCCAGTTTCCTTGTCTTTGTACGCCAATCGGAGAGGCTAGTAAAGTAAATTACTCTTCTTAAAAATAACGATTCTGTATATCGATGAGAAGATCGATCATTAATTAAGGAATGAGGAGATAAGAGAAGCTTCTTTAGCATTTGCCAACTGCAAAAGGCTCCTTGAATTTCAGAATCACTTTCCTTAACCGGTTTTTAATGGTATTAATTCTGATTTTCCGTGAAGAAGTGATTCTGGGTCGTCTTGATCCTTGTTTAGTTTTCTAAATTTATTTTTTAAGTTGTCCTTGGCGATCAACAGAACATAAACTATGTGCCCGTCAGTTTGCAGGGCTACTCTTACATTCAAAGACCGATCCAGCAGACAAATTGCATGAAAAGTGTTACGAACATTTAATTGAAATGTTTCTTTATTAAATCCATAGCTTTATCCTTTCTTATCTGCCTGCTAGGTTTCGATCCGAGTTTAAAAAGTTAATGGCTTAAATCCAAGATTTTCCGTGATAAAGTCGCATTTTCGTCCGTGGTCGAAAAGTAAGGAGTGGGCCGATACCGATATCTGATACGACAACCACATGAGAATCCACTTAAAGCTTTTCTCCTCCGCCGGGATCCTGCGTTCTTCTGGTTACCATGATTTTGTGGACAAATGTGGATAATAAATTGCAATTTTTAACTTGTTCGTCTGTGATTTTCACGAGATGTCAGAGCACTGAACTGCAATTACTAATGACCTTGCGAGACAACCTTGTGTTTGGTAGGAAGGTCAAGTGACTTGCTTACAAACTCAAGTATGCATATCGATATTCAAGGAAAGAAAAGTTGGTTTTGTACTCAGTATCGCATCGGCTTACAAAAAAACGATATCAGCCAACCTTCATCGAGAAAGACGGGAAGTGAAACAAAAATATTTGATGTTAGTCGACAAGTTCCTTTCCATCGTTCACACAAACTGACGACTGCTCTCTTAAAGATTTCACGAACGACACTTTCGGTTTTTCAGGAAGTTCATATTAAATTAAACAGTTTCGAAACTATATTAAAATAACATCCACTAAAAGGGTTAAAGTATTCGTTTATCCACGTGATGACAACATTATTTAACACAGAACGCCACAAGCATTCAAGTGCATTGTCCTCTTTGCTTCGGTGGCCGCTGTTGATAATTCACCATGGAATTTCCGCTTGTTATTGCCATTGCCTTCGGAATAATTGCTCAATCAATGGAAGGTAAGACAAGGACTATTCGAAGTACAATATAATTTTTTCTGATCAAAATGCATATTTACGATCTGCGCAGTTTCAGCGAGTTAAACCGGCAACCATTTTTAACAGTGTTCGATATATGAAAACTCATAATATAAAGTTTATACAAATGATGCTGCCATTACGACAGAGTTCAGCGAGAACGATATTTTAGACAAATCGATTTGCTATTTCAGAAATACACGAATACTTGAATTGCGAAAACATCTTTTCAGCTCGTCCAGTTACCACTCAGAGAAAGCGGAATGGTATTTTGAGCTGTTTTCACAGTTGGCAAACCAGTTTAAAAGTGTAAAAATTTTATTGGACATGTATTTCCTTTAAAAAATTATAACCGAGGAACATCTACACATTTATGTTTGATAATAAAAGTTAGCGAAATGAAATTGTGCCGTTTCGAAGCTACCATGACACTGAGTTTAGTTTCGAATTTTAAGACAATGCAATATAACAGCAATGTAAATTTTCTTTCGACTGTGTCAGTGTGTGCTGTATATCATTTTATATGAATACTATTGCGTTTCTGGTTTGGCTTTTCAATCACGGTTTTAGGGCATTTGATGGACTACACGCTTTCTTTAATTCATTACAAAGAAAAACCTTTTTGGCACTTCTGGGATGGAAAAATGGTGAACTAATCCTAAAACTACATCCTTGCCGTTCTGCTCATGAAGACGACTTGAAGTATGAGGCTATAAAATCTCGATCACGCGCATCGTATTTTCAAAATTTAAGCTCAGTTGTTCCCCATTTTGGTGCATTAAGTACGCTGAGAGAAACTCTGCTAAGATCTCATAACTATGGTTTCGATCTAAAGCAAACGATTCGGACCGTTTCCGAGACGTCCTCTTTACTTAATAGGGAAATCTTGACAGCTTCAAGTCGAAACGAAACAGCCCTGTATCCGCTGTTTTTCTATGAATTTCAACAACGTATGTACTGTGATAACTCACAGAAGTTTACACTACCATTTTAATTACGAGAAAACGACAGATTTAAAAAGCTAAGGTCTCTTATAATTTCTAGGTGGAGCGATTAGAAAAAAGTGCTTCTCTAAGATCTGCTCCAGCAACCCCTCCAATATGATGCGAGTATGGGATAGATTTGGCAGTGGAGCCTTTGGGGCCCCAAGGTATGTTTCGCTCTATTCTTGGAAATCATCCAAGAAACCTCCTCTTTCTTTCTCTATGTATTTTTCTTTGTCTTTTGTGAAACATTACTCTACAGTCGCAGACCTTCAAGGCAACAGGAACCGGGCTTGAAACTTGATTATTCGGGAGAGAAAGTGTTGCAGACTTTCTTTACCTACTCGTTACTTTTAGGTTTTCCTGAGCAGCCTTTCTTGATAACTATCCCTTCTTTGTAAGGGGCTGCTTCTTTCGAGATATCTAAACACCCCCTGTTGCTTTTGAAATCGCGATAAGCGTCAAACCATTGAAATTATGACAGGCATTTTTGAGATTGCAGGTTAAGGAAAAGGTTGAGCTTTATGTGTAGGTGTGAGCATGTGCCTACTTCCAAAAAAAAAGTTGTTTGTTTTTATTTTTCGCATCTTCGTTGTTTCTTTTCCTCGAAGGAAGACATATTTTAAGATCCCAGCTTTAAAAAGATGTTCCTTTTAAAATTTGACTGCCAACAATCTTGGAATCTCGTCGCTTCTGCGGAACAAAATGGTATCAACGCGTCTAGGCCAACCTGGCCACGGCGATTGCCTGAAAACAAGAGGTCTGCTACTGCTTTACTGGAGATGTTAACGATAGAAATCAGGGTTGAGAGGAGAGGGGAGGGGTGGGGGAAGAACCAACACTACTAGTGTCTTTTTGGGTTCCTTCATGCAAACAATGGTCTGTGCTATGCTCACTATTCTCCGACGCAGGTGTTGCGAGAGGGATGGGACTCGCTGGGCCAACAAAGGAATTGATATCATGTGCTCTGCTGGTTCGAGGGTATATGCACCTTTTCCTGCTAGAGTTCTCTATTCGTACAGGCCGTTCTTGAAAAACAGGAGACCGCATAATGTTGCGATACGCCTGCGAGGAACTGGAGCATGGAGAGGTAAAACATGGACCCTAAACCTAACAATTGATCAAAGTCAGATGTTTTGAAATTCATCTCATTTTTTTCGCTGATTTTTGAATGCAAAACTGGAAAATCTTCTAGTATTACAATATTGTAGTCTCGTGGATTGCTTTTTAAACTAACACCTTTTGGCTTTTTAATCTCAAATTGGCATCTGCCCACAGATCCCTTCTATGTAGAGCAAAGTCTTAAACAAACCAGAAATTTTCAATATCACAAAAACTTTCACAGCGGCCTGGATCATACCTCAGTTCACCTCCTAATTCATAATAGGTCATCAAGTTTCCAAGAAGGAACAAAGGGGATATGAGGGGATGGGATGACACATTTCTAACGTTTCTTCCAGGTTATGGTGTGAGGTTGTTTTTCGTAAAGAAGAGAGCTCGCAATGGACGTTACGTTTCTGCTGGAACTTTCATTGGTTACATGACCAACATGGCGCCCGAGTATGGCTACGGTATGACTAATAGTATTCAAGTGCAGGTTGACAAGAATGGAGTGACAATCAACCCAACTAAGTTTTTCTGTTAAGGTAAGACTCTTCTCCTTTCTTCCTCTCAGTAAAGCAACGAGTATAGGCCACACTCATGACCGCGCGTTGCTCTCGACTACGTGCCCGGCCTAAGGTAGAGATATCCAAGCTAATTTACGCCGACACAGTGGCACATGTCCACACCTGGGGATTGTATAGCTTAGATTCGAGATACTTGTGATGAAATTACAGTAACACACGGAAAAAGTCTACAACAAATTAGTGATATCTATATTCTGTGAGATTACAACGCTTCATTGCAGTCACTACACGCTGCCAAGATTGCAATGATGATAACTTAAAAAAAAAGTCCGATAAGAGGAGACCCGTAACAGAGTTCCGAATGAGTTTTTTCTGTGCGTAAACTTTGAGAATGAGAGAAGTTTGAATAACCTGTACAAACCTCTCTAACTATAAGATTACTGATTTTCTTATTCCTTTTGTTTTTTGTATGTTATGTCTTGCAGTCTATGCACCAGGAGCGAAGGATAACCTAATGTAAAAGCATGATTAAAGGACAAAAGTCTCTTCGTCTGCTGTTTGGTCTCTGAGTATTTTTAATTTAAAATAATTGATACATTCAAATCATGAAATAATAAACTAAACATGAGCAGTATCTACCTAAAATCAATACTCTCTCTTTCGGATAATAAAAGCCGTTCAAAAATTATTGATGAAATTTTCGTTTTTTGGAGTTCCTCGTTCTACCGCTTGCAACTGCTTGACACAACATATCCAGTACAATTAGGTGTAATTAGCTACCCCAGAAGGAACGGCCTATAAACCACTTCGATTGTTGGTGCTATTTATTCAACTGATCCGCGATACGATCTTTATTAGTAGAGTTATTAAAGAAAACCTATGAAAACAAAGAGTTTATAGTTTCTACAAATTTGGCTGATATCAGACTGAAAACAAGCGAAATCTTATAAATGACTGTAAATATATGAAAATTATATATGTGACCTGCGGATAAAGAAATGAACACGGAAGTGATCTTCGCAGTAATGAACACTCCTTAGGCAGGAGTAAAAAAATTCAGAAGATAGAAATTGAATAGAATCCTAATGATTACATACCAATCGGTGCTACAGGGCAATTTAGTATTATCAACTGAGTTGATAACGTCTTTCGCCAGGGCGATAATCGCTCTGACGAATCGAAGGGCTCAGTTGATAATACTAAATTACTCTGTCTAAATTACTTCTTAGTCGTTTCCGTTCACATCATTCTTGACTTAACAACACGGAACAACCTGAAAAACGCTGAAACAAAGGATAATTTTAACATTGCATTAAAATCGCCACACACCACTGTTTAAAAACAAATTATATACCTACCCGACGTATTGAGGGGAGGTGAAAAAACGAGAAAAAAGGTTCTTACGTGCCTACTCAAGAAACTAATCGGATGAACAACGGGGGTGTAACGAGTAGTTTGCGTGGAGCACGTACAAAGGAGGAACTTAATCAAGAGTTGAGACGTGGGTCGCTCGAAGATTCTGAGAAATTTTTATTCTCGGAGGCTCAGAGATTCCCTTTCCCGTATCTCTAGGGAACAGTTTCAAATATCAAATTAGGGAAGTTTTGATAGCTTACAAGCACTCACTCTTATCTAAGGATCATTATGATAGTGAACTGAAGGGCGCTATTTTTTTTTTAAAAGTTTCTTACTTCGTATGGCAGTTTGTAAAATTGTAGTGAAGTGTCGAGAAACACTCTGTCATACATGCAGTTTTGATTATGAAAGACATACCTTTAACCCTTTAGCCCCTTAGAGTGACTTAAATTTCTCCTCGCTATATCAACCCTGAATCAAACATGAAAGTAATGAGAATAGAGGAGATGATCACAAAACAAAGCAGCTCTTGACTGTTAAATAAATTCTCCCTGTCAGCACATAACGAAATGTATGGAGAGCAGTATGGAGAATATGCATACTGATGTTAGGGTGTAAAGGGTTAAAGATCTTTATTGGCATGCTGTGCGTATGGGCGAATATGGTCGCTACATCCTCGTAAAGAACTTAAAGCAAGTCAGTCAGACAGCCACAATACAGTGGGTTCTCGCACTTTATCGATTGCACGTCATTATCCACCACAAGCCGAACCCGTATTTCACATCACAATAGACACACAACCTTTTCTGATAACTAAATTCTTCATCAAAAATGGCGACGATTCTATCATCATTTTACTTTTAGGTTAATTAATCCTTTTTCCTCGATTAACAGAACTTTTAGCGTGAAACGAGGCATCGAAGGAAAATCAATACTAGCTGTATTTCCGCCTTTGTGGAATGACCTGTACGGATATATGGAGATACATTTATAATGATGTTATAAATCGCATGAGTAGCCTTGCGTGATTGGAGTTAAGCAAACAATTGACTATTTTAGCTCACTAAATTATTTATATCGTGACCTTGACTTCGATACTGAAATCCCGCACGATCAGTAAGGTTGGACCGACAGACTGAAATTCTAAATTCATAACTACGATCTGCAGTAATTATATAGGTTTCCTATGGTTTGTCTCTGAGATTGTTCTGAAATATGATGTCGAATACTTGAGCTCGTAAGTAGTGCTGAAGTAAAACTTTGAAATCACGGACTAGTTTGTCCTGATAAATTGCTAACTTCCGTACGGGAGTTTTGCCAAATTACAAGCTTAACTTCAAGATGGGAAAGGAAAAAAATGCTTTGTGAAACAGTTAGAAAATTCACACATTCCAGGGATCGTTTAATTTGGAGGACCTCTTCTTTCTCGAATGAAAAAACTTTATGGAGTATGGCACTCAGGACAAAATGGCTTTGTCTTGGCTTATTGCACTTGTGTTGCTAGCCTACCTTAGGAAGAAAATAAATATGTGGTAAATGTGTATTAGTTTTGCGGGATAAATGTATTAATTAAGTTAAAACGTGCGTTTTGTAAGACAGCGCCGCCATTCTGTTTTAACAAAGACCAATCAATCATTACGCTGTTAAAAAAAACGTTTCTTTTTATATTCGGTATTTCAGCACCGTTGCAGTACATGTAAACAATGCCTGAACCACTGGTCGAGGTAAACGGATATAAATAGCATTTTTCCTAGATGAGGTAATATAGAAAACGCCCTATATATAAACGTTTGTAACGCGGTCTTTATGATCAATGCCCCTGAGACTTACGGAAGAACAGGTAGAAAAGGCAATTCTCAACATGAAATATCCGATCTTCGTTACCATCGTTTTCATAGGAATATTTCAGTCTCAAGAAGGTTAGTAAACTCCTTACTCTTTTAGCTTCCTTGCAGCATTTTAAGTAGCTAAATTACCAAAATTGCAGACGGCAAGTTGCTAAGAAAATTCATTGTCAAAATTTTGCTCCTTCAAGTTCAAAACTAAAACGCGATGAGACACATATTTCGATTGACCTTATCCAAAACAGTGGATAACATCTTTGGAATACTCAATTTATCTGATTCTCTTTAGTTCGAATCATGTGGAAGAAGGAACGAAAACCGAATGATATTCATTTGCATTGGAAACGGATATCGTGATAAACTAGATATCTTCCTGACTTTTCCATAATGTTTAACGTGGTCGTCAGTGACCATCAATTTCTAATTTGCAATTTGAGCAAAGAAAAGGAATTTGCAAGAAGCTTGAATCCTAACTCAGTGAACTACTTTTCTTTGTCGTAAGTTTATTACAAATATTTTAAACATTTTCTTTATCTTCTTTGTTGTTTTAGTTTTTGGCTGCGGCGGTGGAAGCAAGCCTAAGCCAAAGCCACCAACACCTGGTAAAACTACTTCTTGTTGTTTATTTCTCCGTAATGTGAAACTGGATTTAGAAAAAAAATCGTCTTCAAGGTTTGAAGGTTTCATGATCAGTTTAAAAACTTCAATCACAAGTATACTTCTATAACAGACTCTAGAAAATCTATCAGTTTCTGCATACAGTGAGAGGTAAAGTCTTGACGCACTTCAAGGTTTTTCTATCCGGTTTCAGTCTATCTGGTTTCAGTCTATTATTTTCTATCCGGTTTCGGTCTATCCAGTTTTTATATCCGGTTTCAGTCTATCCGGTTTTTCAATCCGGTTTCAGTCTACTGACATTCCATCACAAATGCAACACGCCATTCAATGTTGCCGTGTGTCTGTTCTGTAATAGATGAAGTTTTGTAACAGATGACGTCAAAATGTGGTAAGAACAAAAAAACTGAGGCACAGAGGTTGAGTAGACTTGTTGGAATAAACTAAACCAAGAACTACAGCAACTCAAGCGAGAGGCGTAGACTCTTCTCATTTTTCAAAAGAGACACTTGAAGACTCGTCAGATATGTATCCAAATACGTACCCCTCTATCGCATATCACGTTGCGCTTTGACACTTCAAAGCATCTCTAATTAGTCATCACTTTGTTGACTATGGTTAATATGCGTCAAATTGATCACATGTTTTGGTGACTTCCAGGTGGTAGCAAATGTTTTGCGCAGATTTGCTCCAGTAATCCTTCCAATCGAATAAGAGGAACAGATCGGCATGGCAGTGGTGCTTTTGGAGCACCGAGGGGGTAAGGCGAACGTATCGTAAGATGCGTCAAATCCTAAAATAATTTATATTATACACGGTTTGGGTATTTCTACATTTGAGGGGGCTGATCAACTAAAATACTGGGTCAGCAGCATACAGAAATTATCTGTTTCAGTGAGAGATACAACTGGATTAGCGTCAATCATTTTTTGAACAATTCCGCATTGAAATGTCATCTAAAATATTTAGTAAAATTTTAAACAAAAGAGCGACTCATACAGTAATTGAAATAATCACTTTAAGAATCCCTGGGCGATCTCTGAGCTTTTGCTGTGTTAATATTATGCCACATAATTATTTAATAGATAGACCTTTATGAACACGTTCGTTATCTTGTCCAAGAAAGTTGTAATTTCTGTCGCTATCAGTGAAAAGGCAACAGGAGAGATCTTATGATAGATGCACTAAAGGTTTTTTTTTGTGAACCATAATGTCAGCATTTTGGAGCTGATAGATTGTACTCACAAAAAGATGCAAACTATTGTCTCGTTATGTTTCATATGTAGGAGTCGTACCCATAAAGGCGTTGATATCGTGTGTGCTGTGGGATCTCGTGTGTACGCTCCATTTCCCGCGAGTGTTGTCCGTGGACTTACTGTGTATAGTGCATCGAAACATCGCGGCAAGCCATACAACACTGGCCTTGAACTTAGGGGAACTGGAGCCTGGACAGGTAATGAGCCAAAAGAAATAAAACGTAAAATCACGAAGAAAATTTAAATAACCTTCAGCTATTCCCCCTCATTTCAAGAGAGTTGAGTTTTTATCTATTTTGGGATCCCCTACAAAACGTTATGATTCAGGCACGGACACTGCCGAATTTGGAAGTGATTTGCGTGGAAGATTAATCGGACGGGTCACTTAGTTGTGACCAACAATTTTTATGGCCTGGATATTCTCTGTGGTTCATTTGGTAGAGCAGCCGATCGACCGAACCTATTGATGGTTCGCTTCCTCACGGGAGCTCCCACATTTTCCTTTGTCCAACTCTTGGGAAGAATAAGTCACACTTTTCTATATTCAAAAGATTTACACACCAGAATAAAAATACTCTCTCTCTTTGCTACTTTGTTTTTTTAGGTTATAAAGTAAAAATGTTTTATGTGAGGAAGACAATCAGCAATGGAAGAATCGTGGCTTCAGGGGATTCCATTGGCACCATGACTGACAGGGCATCTGTGGACCCTGGGATGACAAACCATGTTCATGTGCAGCTCTACAAGGATGGGGCGATAGTGAATCCCACTTCTTTTGTTAACTGTTAGGGTAAGGACGGATCGTTTTTGTTTTGCTTTTATTTACGGATGAATAAGATAAGGGGCAAACCAATGATTTGCAGTTAAAGTGAAAAAAAAAACAAACAAACCGTGAAAGATTCTTGAAACCAATGAACAAGTGATGAGGAGAAGGAGGAAAAGCGAAGTAACCAAAGAAAATAGGAAGGGCCGAACGATGAATGGGCGAAAGACCGTACAAAAGAGCGAGTAAGGGAGACGCAGTGAAGCATCTTGGTGAAAGTTGTGCATTACTCATTGTTTTCCTAAAACCAAAAACTCAGTTTCACCATATGCATCATACTTTGAATGAATGAGTTGCCATTAATCGGATCCATGAGTCTGCACAAAGTTTTCTGGGATCACCACAGGGTCAAACTTTGCAAATTGCTTGAAAGAGATATGTGGCGTTAAGAAATACAAAATATTAGAAAATTAGCTTTAACTGTTTGGAAACAACTCAATGAAATCTATTCCGTTGTACTAACTTGTGTACAGCCTTTTTTCAAACTTGTTTCTGTCTTCAATGAAACAACCTTTCGCCATAGATTTCTTTCAAGAAAGTTGCTATGTTTGACACATGCTGATCCCAATTCATTCACTGGCCCAGATTAGGTGTTGAGCAACTCTTACTAAATCAAGTCTGAACGTTTGCTAGTTTGTTTTGTCCATAGAACTAAACTGGTTTTTTTTCCTCCTTTCAGAATCTGTTGTTAGGCTAGCTGTAAGGAGTGATTTTTAGCCTGCAATAAATTAGCACAAATAGTTATTTCAACAGTGGAGTAGGAAAATAAAAGTTGTTCAAATCAAAGAATCTGACATGCACTCGTATTATTTTTTTTAAGTTGATAAACTTCTTGTTTTTCACATCACTTGAGGACAACTTTCAATTTCGTTTCGGCGAACGGTTGACAAAAAGGAAACCCATCCCATTCTCCTAAAAGCGTGCGTCTAAAGCCGGTGATACACTTAGCGATTTACACGCCGATCGTGGCGAATTTAACCACCAGCGAAAATCGCTAATATCAAACAAGCCAGATATTGGTGATTTACAACGGCTACTGACGAAAATCGCAATCGCTGCATTGGGCACACTTGACGATATTTGCCGATCGCCGCGATCGGCGTATAAATCTCAAAGTGTGTCGCCGGCTTTACAGGCGTGGTTTTTTCATGTGAACGTCTAATACCCCTGCGCGAAATGTGACTGCCATTTTGAATTCTTGATTTACTTCGCGTGAGGCAAGCAAAAACGAGGCGGCGTGTTTGGTGATCGTGTTTCCAGACCGTTCTCTCCGGTCGATACACTGACTATGCTCGACCTCCCCAAACCTGAGTAAAGTTTCGTAAATTGTTGTCTGTGTTATTGACGAGAGGATTTACGATAATATTCGGACGAGACGAAGTGTAGCGTTTAAGCCATTGGCTGTTAATGGTTAGCTTACTTCTGACAATATCAGGAATCGGTGAACACTTCCAAAAAATTGATTTTTTTTCTTTTTTTGTCATAACATTCCCGTGGGTGAATGCATTTAATGAAAATAGTTAAAGGTTCCATCGACTTATTTTATGGGAGAAGTTAATGGAGATATCATTTTTGTAATCAAATGAAACGTACCAGATGCCGTTTTTTTAGCTGTTAAAATAGGACAATTTGAAGAAGTTGCCAAGAAAATAAAGTAAAATAAATGCAAAGTAATACAAATAACTTAAAAAGATAACTAAAACGGTAACAAAAAAGTAGAAATAAATAGAATTAATTAATTTTGAAAAATCAAATATGCATGGTGTTTAAATATTTTTATTATTTCTTTGAAAATAAAAAGACGCAAGGAAAGGTACATGTAGGTTATTTACATAATCAGAGATTTTTTTTCACCATCAAGGTTATCTTTTCCTGCGAGCCGCCTGAGTTTTGCTTGTACTCAAAGCTGAATCTGAGCCAGTAATGCTGGCTGGAAGAGAGAACAAATGTTCTCCAAAGTATTTGGTTGCCAGGTCTCGTTTTGGAAGAGTTTGTTGAATTCCCCTTGATTTGGACAAAGGTCGTTTTGAAGAATGAGACGAACACACTTGATGGACCCTGAAGTCACAAGAATATAAAAATATGATCAACCTTTTGATCAACCCTATGAGTGACTAACATCTAACTTCTCCTTATAATATCACCCCTGAATCAGTCATTAAGCTCATGAGAATAAAGGCAACAATCACCAACAAGACAAGCTCTTGACTTTTAAACAAATTCTTCTTGTTAGCACTTTAAGAAATGTATGGATAATTGTATGGAGAATATGCATACTGATGTTTCTCTGGGTGTGGATGCTTCAGGTTGGGGGGTTTATTAGTTGTGTCTTGCAGTTCAATTCAGTGTGTTTGAACAGAGTCCACCAGGATATTCATAATAAATAGTATTTCTTTATAGTGAACCCTGAAATTATTTAAAGTGACTCTTCCTGCATTTTCCAAAACAATTGGAGGACAATGAAGAAGAATAGTCCATCCAAAAATGTACAATTCTGAGTCTATATTCAAACATTTCTTATATGTAGACCCCACAGAAGTTTCTATCAAGGCCACTTGCTTTTCAGCCAACCCTTGCACTAATTTAATTCTTGCTATGCCACCCCTACATGTTTCCAAAACAGTACAGGAGTCAATTTTCTTTGAATTTAACTACAACCCAGTAATAAAAAACAGCTTCACAAATGTAAGATTAATTTGGAGTTGTAACTCTATGAAATAAGAGGAAAATACTTGAACACAGTGATTGTTTATCTATATGTAAAGCACAACCCCTCTGCTCTTGATATTTAGCCCCCACAATATTCTATAAATATATCTGTACCTTTCCTCAGATCCCTCTGGTGAGACAAATATTTCCGACTCTTGTTTAATGATATTTCTTTCCACTGATGTTGGCTGGTGTGCCAAATCATACTCAATTTTCTTCTGCTTGGAAGTGCAAAACTTACAAGGAGTTTCTCCGTTCACTGTAAATATGTGAATAGATATTAGTAACAAGTAAAAAATAAAAAAGCCAAAAATAAGCCTGAAACTGGCATAGAGAAGTTTGTAAGGTTTTGTTTGCAACATGTTAAGTTATGTTGTAAGTTGATTTTATCTTAAGTTTGCTTTAACTTTTAATGTATATTGCATGACAAGGTAAAGAAAACAATAAAAGAAGGTAAAAGGTTATTAATACGGGCACTTTCAGCCTTTGGAACAGTTACAGATATATACTGAAGAGCGTTCTGTTGAGATGGGAATGTGAAAGAGGAAGTCCCTTCCCTTTCCTCTCTTTTCTCTGCTTTTCATGTCTCCCTTGCCTTCATTTCATTTCCCATTCATTGTTATTTTACAACTCAATATCTACCTGCTCTAAGAAATGAATTAGGATTTCCAGTCCTCTTGGCATAATCAAGTGGTACATCACCACTGCCATCCTGTGCATTCATGTCTGCACCATGTTTAATGAGGCAGCTCACGCTCTGTAAGTGAGCTCCTAATGCGGCTAAATGGGCTGGTGTTGCACCAGAACCTGAAGGCCAACATGGTGGGTATTACATTCTCGATCCATAAAATATTGTATTGAATTGTCTCATGTCAAGATTAATTAATTCATGTAGAAGTCTTTCCTCTTAATGCATCTATATACAACATGTACATGTATATAAACATGGCAGTCTGTAGAGTTTCAGGTCTTTTCTGTAATACTGATGAAAGCAGTGATGGGAACTTTAAGAGGGATCATTTTTAGATTGCTCACTAACATCATCTCTCTTTAGTATGACAGAACCTGTTTCATTACAATCACATAATAGCAAAGATGTATTTAGGTGTGGGGCAGTAATAAACTTCTAGTGAAAGAAAAAACTTTACCATCTCTGATGTTGGGATTAATTCTGTGTTCCAGGAGCCAGTTAACACATTCTGTAGCACCATTTTGTGCAGCCTAAAATTGATCATGAAATTGTCACTAGTGTCTAAAATCAAAATTTAACAACTACAAGAACAAAAAAAAAAAACTATACTCAAACAAGCAAGTTGGAACACTCAGAGCTCTACAACAGTTCCACCATACTCACCACATGAAGCAAAGATTTTCCAGATCTGTCTCTAACATCTATTTTTGCCAGCCCTGAACCCAACAGAAATACCAAACAGGGGCAGTTATTATGTGCTGCAGCATAATGTGCTGGAACACATCCTGCTGTGTCTCTAGAATTTACATCAATGTCACTGTGTGCAAGAGTTTTCAAAGCTTCCAAGCCTCCAGCACTTGCTGCATAGTGAGCTGGTGTGCGTCCTTGATCATCAACACAGGTTACCTCAACATCACTTTCTATTAGACACCTGAAGTGAAATGACAAACATTACATTTACAACATCACAGTTTTCACTGAAAAGTGTCATAACAAGGAAACAGTACAATAATAAGTAACAAGAGGATATTTTGTAAATAGAGTAAGAGAAATGTTAAGTTTTGAGCTCAGTAAAGAAATAGAGAAAGATATTTTTTGTCTTATTCCAAGCGTGGGACAAAGAAAAAATTCTGAGTCCCCATGGGAATCAAACCTTTGAACTTCAGATTCCACTTTCCACATCCTGCATACTGCTAGGATCAGCAATGAGAGAATATTTTCTACATCTAAATTATAAAATGGTTCACGCCACCAAATTTAGCAGAGAAATCTGTGCAACAGCTGGAGAATTCTCTGATCTGTGTTGCATGCATGATAACATCATGCAGGCTTTAACTCTTTACTCCAGTAACATGTCCTTTTGGAGAGAGAATTTCATTTGGAGCCCAGTTATACATAAATATTATTGAGTACCTCAATGCAGCTCTATGATTTTTCATTGCTGCCAAGTGAGCTGGAGTACGTCCCTGTTTATCCTCTAACACCATGTTACTACCATTCGTGATTAAGATTTCCAGACATTCACTTTCACCGTGATATGCTGCCAGATGAGCACTTGTTTGTCCATTGGAATCAACAACATTGATATCTGTCATATGCTTCAGAAGTTCTTTCACCACAAGAGTGTGACCACCAATGCACGCCTCATGGAGTGGGGTCCTTTGCACATTGCTACCTTTGATAGGATCTGCACCTGCCTAAAACATTTGATTACTTCGGATAAAAGTATTTGTCATTTGGTTTTTCAGCAACATCTATATCCCCTGAAGAAGTTGAAAAAGTCCCCACGAGGATTCGAACCTCAGACCTTCGGATCATCGGGGCGCGGAATCGTGTCCCATACTCGTGACAAGACGAAAACGTCTTTCTCAAATTCGAATATCTTAGGACAACGTATTACTTTTAAAGGATGTTCAACATCCCGGCTGAAACTACTCGTGAGGTCTGTCAATCCAGTACCGCTCCATTTATCCTTCCAACTTACCTTTAGAAGCTGTCTAACAACCGTCAAATGCCCATACCCGGCGGAGCGATGCAAAGCGGTCCTCTGAGCTCGATGGCCTCCAGCTTTCTCGTTCACATTAATATTTTTATCTAAAAGCAGTCGGGATACAGTATCTGAATCACCTCTTTCAGCAGCCTCCTGCAACGGAGGCAAGGAGAAACTGACAAAATCCGATGGCAACGGTGGATTAAGGTCTTCACTTTTTGCACTGATATCTCCTTCGCCAAGCTCGAAATCCTTCGCTCGACTTGCCGTCAATGATGTGTACAAACTAAGATCAAAAGTGCGTGCACTATCTACTTCCCTTACTGACATTGTTCAAAGTCGAATTAAAAAATATCAGTTACTTCCATTGGCAACTTATTTAGTGTTTTGACGCCATTTTGTTTCCTAGGACCCAATCTTTTAGGAAAACTCGGTCGTACTCTCAGCTGCTAAATCCTGGGATCTCGCAGCATCCTGGGATCTCGTATAGCTTGACACTTCAGTTGACAGATGTTCCTCAGTTTCTGTGCAAATAAACAAAAGTATTTTCCAAAATGTCATTGGTTGAATTGCTTCAAAAATATGTTTACACCGCAGTAATGAATTATCTGCTCTCTTTGGCCCAGTTGGCGAACTTGCGGTTCTATGTTCATCCACCATGACGACCGGCCAAGCCTCAACTTAGAGACTTAAAAAGCGATCACCCTTGCTTTCCAATCAAGGCGGCAGTCTCTAGTGGTTTCCCGCAATGAGGACATGGTTGATATTTTGTCTGTTCTGTGCAAATTATGTTGGCTGTGAGATGGAGTTCCCCCCGCTTCCCCAAGGAAAGCCTTACAGTTTAGAAAGCGAAGAGGATTCTTGGAGTTTGAACGGTCTCACAAGTATTGCAAATGACATCGCCTTGACGCTCAGAAATCAAGCGCCTTACGGTAAGGATCGTTTACAACTGTACTGCTATCGTGTGTGTGACTATTTTGACCTTTTCTACCCGAAAATTAAGCCGCTGTTTACACAAGGCACGATAAACTGGACCATATTTCGAATGGGATGCTGTCCACAGAATCATAGCCGCGCTTGTGCAAATACAAGTATCACTTCATAAGTGTGCTGCCTCTCGAATGTAGTGCTGCAAGGCAATTGCTATCCTTCGGAATAAGACATGCGCTTAAATATTGCACAAAGTCTAACAGTTTTCTTCTCGGTATGCGGTTAGGTAAATATATTCTTAAGATTAGGATTTTAAAGCTGGCAACATTTTACATTGAACGCGTTGACTTTCGCTGTGATGATAACTTAGGCTACACAGTGAACGAACTAGTTTAAAGGTTACGTCCTAATTTTTACTCAAATGTCATATTTTTAAGTGATTTCAGTTTAAATATTTTTAAACTAGTTTTTTATTGGGTAGTTGTTCCTTTGTTCAAGGATTATGGTAATTCAATCAGAACGAAGAAAAAATTTTACTAAACAACGTTTCGACCGCTTATTCAGGGCGTGTTTTACTGTTGATTACTTATGAACCATTGGAGGAGAAAGGTATACATGTTAAGGATGACACCACCATAAATATTTTGCCTCTTTATAATACAAAACAACTAGATCCCATTAGGTTCAGTAATAGCTCACATATGATGCAAAAATTTGGAAGGAACATCAGTGACTCATGTGGCTGCCTCTCTTGTGCCAATTTTTCATTCACACCACATTTGTGATCTTACCAAACAGACATACAGCAACATTGAATCTATTTTTTAAGTAAATATATACCTCCTCTTTGGTTTTTTGCAGAAATTATTGGAAATACCTTAAGTAATGCATTTGGTAAAGGAGGAAAGTCCCCAGAAATCTCTGAGGTTTGTGAAACCAATTAACTTTCACTTAAAATTGAAAGAGGTTATACTTTATAAAAAGCTTCAAGCAAATTTTATGTCATAGAAAAATTTTGTAAAACAAAAGATCTTACCCACCTTGAAAAAATAAGTTTTAAAAACCATTGCTTAAGTTGTTTCTAAATGTATAGCTTCTCGATAATATCTCAAAGAAGTATAATTACCTTTAACTTCATAGCTTTTCCCTCATACAAGGGCTTTCTTTCCTTTTGCTGTTCAGCCACTATGCAAATGGCTGTAGCCTCTTTTTACAAGTCTCGAGTGAGCTGCACATGAAGACCAAAATGTGCTGATTACATATAAATTTACCTTTAGTTAAGACAAAAACTATTCTTGAAATAGCAAGGATTACTTATCTTATTTACAGGTAGAAAAAGTAGGTCTTTCAGAAGGAAGCTGTGATGAAAGATTAGCCAGTGGTAAAAAAGTGACTTCCCCTTGGGTACAAGCATCTATTCCATTAAAATCTATTCCCCTTGCTTTTACTTAGTGATTTTTTTTTTCAGTTTTAATCAGTCTCTCTGAGTAAATAGGAAACAAAGCAAAGGTTGAAATTAATGGCAGTTCAAGGAACTTTTTTCACCAATTTTTTTACATCAAAGCAGCCAGTGTTTCAGAAACAAGTACTGTAACCAGTGAAAACTCTGGTGACTGGTGCTGCTGGAGAATACTGACAAGTATTACTGACAAAGCCCATAGAAGAATTTTATCATTGTGATTGTTTGTTGTATGATGTGGTCAGCAATGTTTTTGTTTTATTACTTTCTCAGGTGATTGACTATGAAGTTCCTTTGATAGTGCTGGCTTCCCTCTCTTTGATTGCTGCATTGGTTATCCCTATTATTGGCCTAGTCTTTTGCTGTTGTCGTTGCAGAGGAAAATGTGGTGGCATTATATATGATGATGAACTCAAACAGCATCCTGCAAAAGAACGAATAGCATACTCTGCTGGAATTCTTCTTTGTGCATCTTTACTGATGTAAGTTTGAGTTTTGAAATGTTTTCTTCATTTTTGCTTTAATTGTTTACAAATAAATGGAGGTCCATGTTGGGTCATATTTATGTCATTTGCTGACACAACAGTTCATCTTCCATTGATCAGCTTTATTGATCAGCCCACATAATGAATTTTTTTTTTTGCTCTATTTTATGTCTTGCAGTATTTCAGGTGGCTTTATTCTAGCTTCAAGTATTCATATGAATGACAGTATCCCACATGCAAGAACAGTGTGGAATGACTCATTTAGTGATATCAAAATTTACACAGGCAATTTACTTCAGGTAAGGGATAAACTATATATGAATCTGTGTATTCATGATGGGCTTGTTTGATACTGGTACAATACTTAATTGTGCTGAAAAGTGACCTGTGTAAATACACTATTTAAAAATTTCAGGAAATAAATCACATATTACTTCAAGAAGCTGTTCCCACAATTGACATTTTGTTTGATGCAGTTATTGGTGAGTTTTGTGGGCATAGGTCATACATTTGGGTAATGGATATAGTGTAAAATAAGTTTTTTGAAGTCTGGAGGATTTTTAGGATGTAGTATATTAATTAGTGATTCTGACTAAAAACTAATCTGGCAGTTCTGAAATCCAGAATTCCTTTGCGACTAGTCAGAAATGCCAGAAACCTCTACTTTCTTCTACTTTGGAAACTTTTAGCCCAGTTAGAATTTTTCCTGGGATATGATACTTTCTGATTGAGTTGTCCCAGTTAGAGGTTAGGCCAGGATCACTACAGTATGTTTTACTTTTGGAACTCTAACAATGATGAATAAGCACAATTGCCCATTTTAATAGAGTTAGAAGTGGAACACAAATTTACATTTATGTAGCACAGCCATAGCCCTTGAGTGACTTGCATCTAATTTCTCCTCACCATATCACCCCTGAATCAAACATTTAGGCCAGGAGAATAAAGGAACTGACCACCAACTTGAGAAGCTTTTGATTTTTAATCAAATTCTCCTAGTCAGCACCCCAGGAAATGTATAAAAAATGTATGGAGAATATGCATACTGAAGTTAGGGTGTAAAGGGTTAAATTACTACACTAGACAATATTATCAAGAGATACTGTGTATTTTGTGGGTGTCAAAGCAAAGATGCCTGGTGGAGGCAAAGACTTCCTAACAGTAGTCTTAAGAGTTTCTGTAAAGTTTGTTGTAATTATTCCTGTCTCCTAGATTGTATATAACAAAAAGTATGTCTCCAACAAAAAGTTAAGAAAAAGGTTACATATTAATTATGTAATGTAATTCAAGTGCTCATTTAGTTCATACAATTGTAGAAACACCTTATATTTGCTTTATTGTTTTGTAGTACACTTAAATGTAACCTGGAACAGTGTTGAAAAGTGGATTCATAGTGTTAATTTTTTAATTTGTTTAGCAATGGGAAGAGATATAGTTGTTCCTATAATACAGTCACCTGTATTTCAAGAACTCTACTCTGCTGTTAAAGATGTTGATCAAGGTAAATGTACATTATGGTGCCCATATTCCTGAAAAGGAATTTTCATATGATACTACACATTATATTGCTTAATCTCTTTTTTTGGCAACCAGAATTTTATTTCAGGTAACTATTTTATGATTTTTTTTTCTGCAAGTTGCAGCTTGGGAAAAAGTGTAGCTTGGAGTGCTGTCAATTGTTTTTTCTTTTTTTTTCGGTCTAGACAGAGTCATCTGTCATCAAATTTAAGCTAGGCTGGGAAGGGGTTGGGGTGTGGAGGGGTAGTGAAGAATCAAGCATTCCCAGGTTTTTGGTTTCCTGAATTTGCAGCTAAAAACAATTTACTTTCTTTTATTATCAGCTGTGAAACAGACCGCACAGCTTTTTGGGGAGATAGCAGATGCAAAGTCATCCCTAATCTCAAAAAGCAGCCACATTCAAAATGAACTAATTTCCATTCAAAAAGCATTGGAGGTCATTCATACTGAATGTAAAAGTAGTGGAGGAAGCAGTCTTTGTGATGAAATCCCATTTGGTAAGGATGTGGAAACTGAAGCAGACTTTAACAAGGTGTGTGATTTTGTAGATTGTAACTTTCACTTATTAATTGTAACAAAAAATTATTGTTCAAGATATGACTGTCACAATAGTAATTTGATGTCAATGAAATACACATTTACTGTTCATTGTACATATAAATGATAGTGCAACACTATTGTTGTTCAGCTAATTACTGTTAATTTTAGACTTTATCCTGTGTATCTCAGGGAGAATTAAGTGAGTCATTTTGTGGGTAAATTTAAAGTGTTTGGTGACAAATAAGCTTTATTTAGTGCCCCAAAGCTTTTCCTTGCCATCCTACAACATGCCACCTTCAAAAAGTTCCTTGTTTGTTCAATTTTTTAAGATGGTAGTAAAGAAGTGTATCATATACAACTGAGTGCAGTCTTATTATTTCTAGGTCCCCAATGTTACTGATAGCCAAAACAAAATAGAGGATGTGGCAAAGAGTGGTCTTGGAGATGATGTTGCAAAGGTACAATTTTGAACTCTAACAACTATTGTTACAAATTCATATGTTAAGTCTTGATAATAATTTAACAATTTTCATTTATATTCAAGGTGATTTCTTAAGTTTTCAGGTGTTAAATATTTTACTTGTACCTAGGCAAGGTTATGATTTATATTTTATGTGTGGTTTGAGAGCTATTTGCAATGGAAACACTGTGATCAAGGCCTGTGATTAGGGCCTTAAAAATGTGTTAGAGGGAAGCTCTCTAAGTATAATAACTGATATACACTGTAATCAAAACTATAACAAAGTTTCACTAATAGGACAGTGTATGTGTCATGCTAGTAATTTGACAATGTATTTGGACAGTTTACATGTTGTGCCTGGGTAAGTGGTCAGTATGCATCATGTGTATGCGTTGTTGTCAAATATTTTACTTAGTTAACTGTTGTGTTTTTATGAAAACATATAGCCAAATTATTGAATTTCTCTTCAAATTTTGTCATAGTTTTGATTAATTGTTAACAGGACTTCGTGTTGTCCAATTCTGTCTGTAATTATACTCGTGATGAACAAATCTGACTCCTGCTTTATGGTTTTCCAAGTTCATGAATCACTTGTGTGATTACAGACCAAATTGGACTCCACTCAGTCATATTTACCATATTAATTGTTTAAACCTGAAACTGAACTAAAAATTTCATTCTTTTTTTGTATTAAAGTGTTTTGTATTATTTTTAAACTTAAATTTGGATACAAAAACTGATTCAATCTTGTGAACAAAAGAGCAAAAACTTGTAAAAGGGTGCCTGAGAATACAGGAGGGGATTTGAAAATCTGTACAGTAATACAGACTAATTATATCACTGAATTTGTTTTGTACATTCTCAGGGAAAAAGGAGTAAAGTATCCTGACTGACATAAAACCATTTATAAAGTTTTTGCAATTCATTAATTTACCTTAATTTACATTAATCTAAGGTCATTAGTTTAAAGTGATAAAACAATCACTCAGAAACTAAACGTGACTGCAATCTTTTTATCTCTTAAATTATCAGACCAGTTTACTTATAGCTATTGGTCACTAGAACTTTGTGGTTGTGGTTAGGAGGTCATAAGTGAACCATGTTCTCTTCCATTATCAAAATAGGGTAACCAGTCTCTACAGGACATGGCTGAGAGAGTTCAAAACTTGACTACAAATTTAACCAATGGTAAGAAATAAGACTTGTGCAAAAATTCCTGTATGTGATGTAATGCTACACTTAAAAACAACTTTATATAATATCTGCTTGCTTGACCACTGAGCTGTCTTGTACATGTATTTTTTCCAGTAGATATAGAAAGAAAGCTCTTAATCTGTTTCAAAAACAAAAAACAAACAAGCAAACTTAGCATTAGGATAAAGAACTTACAGAAACTCAATTCTGAAACAAAAAAAAAGAAAAAAGCATTTACTGAATCCTTGAATCCTCGACCCTTAAACTCTCCAAGGTGATTACCCATGTAACTTTCCCTGTAATGTATATGTGGGAGCCAGAGGGGAGAATTGCCTTGTTGAATTGCTTATCACTTTAAATAGTTGAAGGGTCAAAATATAGTGAAAGTTGGACTTTGAACACTGAATTTAGAGATCACATATCACTCAAAGATGCAACAATTGTTGTCTACAGAATTTCAGAATTTTACTTCCAAAATAAAAGATATGCCAGTGGATGTTGTTCAGCCTTTTAGAGATGACATTGATAAGGTAATCTTTAGCTAGGGAACTAGAACGTTATAGTTTCATTTCTACATCTTCTTTGAAGTTATCTGGTTATGGTTGTTCTGCCCTTCACCTTTTTTTTTTTTTTTTTTTTTTTTGGACTTGGCCTATTCCCTTTGAGCACCATGCAATTCTAATAAGGAAGGGGTAGTTATTCCATTGTTATTTTGACTCTGAGTTTGGATTGCAATGTACAGTATTCTTTTTACAGGACCTTGTTCATGTCTTAAGTCTTTGAACTAGAAAAGTGTCTCAGGGTTAAGTTATTTTTCTTTCTTGCTCAAGACAGGTTTTATAGATCATTTGAGAATTTCAGATATGTTCATGAATCTTACTTCCATCTGGCCAGAGTTGGTTAAAACTGTTTTTGTTTATGGGAATATTAGCTGCTGGTTCTTAGCTGCATGCTGCTGGGTCAAAGGCGACCTTAGCACTAGCCTGTTACTAGGATTTGTGGGATTTTAGTTGACTGCAGTAACCTCAGTGTCCCCTCAATGATTAATTAGGGTGTTCCCACAAAAAGAAATAACATTACAAGGTGCATGTGAAGTGAGGTGTTTTAAATTTGTTTGTTGTTGTTATGATAGTACATTGCAGATACTCTGTTTCCAATCAGAGATGATGTAGATGAGACGTATCTTGGTCCAGATGGATTGCTATCCAAATATGACAACTATAGGTAAAGTATGTATACATGTATTCTGTATTCTGTATAACTGTATACATGTATTTGCTGCTATAGGGTATATGTACATGTAATTTTGTGGGAAATCTTGACACTTTACATTCCTCCTTTGGTTCTCTCTCTCCACCTTTATGCAATGTTGTATCTGTCCAAAACTGAATGTTTTGGTTGCAAAACTGTTATCAATGTTACTTTCCAGTGTTAAATTTAAGGATTGAGCCAGCTTCACAGAGGGAAAAACAGAACAATTCGGTGTTGTATAAGGATGTGATATTGGGTTTGAAGAGAAGCTAATAGGAGATACAGTGTAGACTGTAGACAACTTACCTTATAATTATAGTAATTATAAGACCTTTCAATTTCTTTGGATTGGCTTCATTACTCAGACATGATGTGAATAGAATGTGGGGCAAAAAAGAGTGAGAGAGAAAGAGAAAAAAACTGAAAATAATGTATCTTGTTGATTATCTTTTCTTCTGTCAGGCATATAGCCTTCCTTTTAATAGGAGTCCTATCTCTGTTGGATGGTTTGCTGTTGATAATTGCTGTGGTAATGGGCTTGTGTGGTTCTTTAAGTTATGATACACCCAGCAGTAGAAGTAATCTTTCACACTGGGCAGGAAGGCTTATGTTAGGGTGAGTTGTGGATGCTTTGACAATATAATTATGTACTTGTATATGATTAAATTTCAACTACTGTAGGAATAATTGTAAATAAGCTCAAATTACTTTATCAAAGACTGCCCATGAGTGGAATTTGTGATCTTTGAACAATTAGTAACTCAAAACTCGTTTTAATACAAATCGCATGAAAAAAATCATTTGATTGCTTCTTAATTACTTCCATTTAATATCATGCTTCTGCCCTGAGTTTCAATTTTCTGTTCTGCTTGGTATTTATGGTTTTGTCTCAGCCAAGTGGCACTTGGAAACTTTTTCTGAGGTCCTGGCTGATAGAAGAGTTCTTAGTCGTCTATTATAGTTGGGGTCACTTGGAATCTTTTCCTAATCTATGAAATTATTTGTATTTTCAAAAACTCCAAGGCATCCCTCATATCTTTAACATCTTTTGTCTAAGGATACATGCAACCATTAGTTTTGGGTTGTTGCTTCAATTACAATTGTGTTATGAAAATAAGCAATTATATGTAAGCTTTGATTGCAAGCTTTGGTAGAGAATGGTAATAATTATTAGTTGTATAGCCCTATTTACATGTACAGATCAATAGTGGTAGGACAGTTTACTCTATCCTCTACAAAACACCCCAAACTTTGTTGTTATTGAACTGTTTTCAGCATATTTCTGTATTTACAGAACATTAAATTTCATTGGTTTTTTCTGATTTAAGGAGGCTCTGAACTTATGATTTTTATTAATATGCTGCCAAAAGATAAATGTTGATGTGCTGAATATATCACAACCCTATTCATTGGTTTTCTGTTTGCACATTCATTCAATTTAACAGTCATTTCTTTATTTCTGATTATGAACTAGAGTTTTATTATTAACTACCTAGAGATCTAAACTAACTAAAGGAGATACAAAATTCAGGTTGAGCATTGTTAAGATTATAGGTAAATTATAATATTTATTTGACCATTTTTCCCATTCTAGAGCTGCTGGTTTGTTCTTTTTTTCTGCATTTCTCTTTAATTTGTTGACTGGTGTCACCTTCATGTTGGGAGCAAATATAGCGGTTGTTTGTGATGGCATACCTGATTATAAGCTTCTTGAAAAGGTATTACTTTTGTGCAGATTCATTCTACCCATGTGTATACTTTAGCCTTATTATATCAAATAGCATAAAAGGATTTCTCATGATGGTAATTCTCTTCTCACTTTCTTGTGAGTAATTGAAATTTCTGGTAGCTTTTCTTTAATTATCTTGTTGTCATTTCCTTTGTTAGATGTTTTACTACTTGCTCTGTGCTTTCAAACATGTTACCTAAACAAGGCATTGGACATGTACTTTGATTGGAAGTTGGAAGATTAACTTACTTCCTGTCAAAATAATAATATTATTGTCATACCAACCTTTGTTGGCTTGTTGTACCTTTTGAAGTAGCTGCCTTTTTTATTTTTTAAACTAATTGATGATTTGGCAGCTTAAGCAAAGCAATGTTCCCAAATGATTTGGATTTGGGTGCAAATTTATGCACCAATCAATTCAAAGCTTTAACATCCCCCCCTTCCCTTAGCAACCCATGGGCATTTGACTGTTGTCTGTGCACTGGGGGTGGGGAATTTGAACCTTGCCTGGAGACAGTGGAACATAAGTGTTTTATTTCACATATGGAGGAATTGAAAGGTATTTGTAAAGAGTCCACTTTTATAAGAAAATTTTTCACAATGAAGAATGATACTTACATGCAATGAACCCCACAGCAGCACCAAAAACTGTTATGTGGCTTTGCTAAATTCTGAATCATTTGTTGGGTGTTTAAATGCAATTTTGGCATGGGGGCAGGAATCTGCACTTACCAATCTTAAAAAGTTGAAATGCTCAGAGGTTCACTCTAAAAAAAATTGATTGATGCATTCAATTTTATCTAGCTATTTATGCATAATAATTTTCATAGACTATAGATGACCCAAAATTTATGGGAGGAGAGTACTTGCTGAGTGAAATGATCCTAAATAATGGAAATATTCCATTGACTGTGTCTGGAGTGCTTAGGTAAGTTTTCTAGTACATGTACATGAACATGTAAATTATGAAAGACTGAAAGCATCTTTTGTCTTTGAGTGGATCATCATCTTCATCTTTGACTTTGTCTTCCATCAAATATTTTTGATTGTGCATGTTGGTGACAATTATTTTATTAATAATTAACCCATTGAAATTTTCCACTTCTGGAGAAGCAGGGAATTGCATTTATGTCACTTCAAAGAATTCCACAGACAGTCCTCCATTTCTTCCTGTACACTCCCTCCCCCTGCCCCCTGCCCCCTGCCCCCTCCCCCCCCTTTGCATTGGCTTTTCACATTTCACTTGAGGCTTATGTTTCACAGGATGATGAAGACTAATAATGTGTTACTCTGAAATGAAGTGAAGTGAATGATAATATAGAGTGTCTTACGCTCTATTGTAATACTTAAGCAAGCAACCCATTTATAAAGTCTTCACTAATTTCTGTCTTGTGTGAACTTACAGTGAATGTTCCAAAAATCAAGCTCCTTGGGATGTTCTCAAGATGGACCATGTGTTTAATCTCTCTGTTGTTCTTAACTACAAAGATGTAAGTTTCAAGCAACAACAAAGAAAATTAAGTTTGTTTGTGTGGTCACATGTTCAGGGAACTTAAACACACCAGATTAGTATTTATAATGCTTGAGTTCAGGATTTGTGTCTTGGTTTTGACTTAATTAATTAGTTGTCTGAATAAGGCTAGTGTGGATTTCTACAGGTTAAGAATATCAGTGGATTTTGGAAGGGACAGTTTTTTTCTCTCATTATGTTAATGTAAGCTGTGAACCTTCGTTAAAGGGCTTCAGCTAATAGAGATAATGGTATCAATATTTATGATAATCAGATAATGATGACGAGTGCCTTAATTGTCTGCATTGATATGGCGTTTCAGCAGCTCCTCAAATTGCACATTAATCCTCTACAAAATGTAATCTTATGAATTTCATAAGAACTAGATTCATCCTATTGCCCCTGTTAGTTACTTCGTCCTTAAAAAGTGGGAGGTTCACTATTTCATTTAAGTCTTTGTTTTAACCAGAGTCTCTGAAGAAGTGAAATTGAATTTCATGAACTTCAAGTCTCTGTTCAAAGATATGTGACTGTTGATAACTGGTGTGCTGAGTATTGGTGTTTGGTTTTTTAGAATTCAATCTTGCATTTTGCATGATTTTCTCTTTTATGTGCCATTAGCGAATCCCTGAACTGGACGCAGTGTTTGCTACACTAAATGAAACTGTTAAAGATACTGAAGTAATTCCTGAGAAGACCAAGAAAAGTGTAAACGACTCGTTGAATGCAGGGGTGTCAGACATTAACTTCACCCAGTATCATGAACAGGTTAAGTATGGACAGAAGGTTTTTATTGTTAAATTAATAGGATGCTTAATGATAAACTTGGGCATGTCATTCACCATGGTGTCGCGACTGAACTTGATTTTATGGAGGAAATATCCATATTATCGTGTTGATTGTGCCTCCTGAAAAATAGTTATTGAAATCTCAAACTAATCTCCTATCTCCCAAAATCCCAAATGCTACAATTTCAACCCCACTTCCTCCAAAAACTATATGAATAGCCTCCCAAGATTTAATTCAGGGTTCCCCTTGTAACAGACAAACAGAGGAATGATAGGATAATTTTGGTTTTGTCAACTGAATTGGTAATGTGAATTGGCCACCGTAAAGAGTTTCAAAGAAGAGACAAGAGATGGGTAGTCTGACAAACAAACAGGTACGGAGACTGAAAGACAAGCAGACAGACATGGTAGAAACAATCAGACAGACAGGTGGATAGAAGGTCAGATGGATGTACGACAGACAAATAGACCGTCAGGCATCTGAATAATGAAGACCAGGCAAAGGAATTAATCGCCAGAATAGCAATACATACATCCTGGTGTCCTCAAAACATGTAGAACTAAAGCAAAAAGCAATAGCCTGAATCGCTGGATTAATGATACACGTAACAACCATATGGTGGTAGAATTAAAAGTTCCTTAGTCACGTCATTTCTGTGTACATTTTTATACTCCCAGGTGAATAAACCTATCGTCACTGTCTCCTTGCCATCATTTGCATCCAATGTCAGCAAGGCTGCCAACACAACAAAAAGTCAGGTATGTCGATACAGTTGCCCGGGACCATTTGCTTGTCATTACAGCTTCGATTAATAACTTGCGGCATTATGCAACCAATTATTCAAAGGATCAATACAACCATGGTTTTGATAAGTTTTATTTTTTTTGCTTTTGTACTGGTATCTTACAATTCTGACTATCACTAGCCATTTTTATGACTTTTCCCCAATGTAAGAAGTTAGCATTGCGGCATTACAGGCACCTAGACAATGGCAATTCAAGACAAATTTGTAGTTATGTCTTTGGATGTCTACCAACAGGAGCTTGCAGTGGTTTTTCGTGGTGTTTGATTTTTTGTTTGTTTGTCTGTGTTTTTCAGAGATGAAGGAAAAGTGATTGAATTTTTCCTACGAACGACCTTTTCAGATTTGGCCGATGAAATATACTGTGTCCTTTAAATCATTCAATCAATTGGTTCTTAAATTTAGTTTTTTTATTTTGCAGAAGGCTTCGGTTAGTAATAAGTTGGCGAATGAAGCAAACAAACTGGACAATCTAGACAAAACATATGTGAAACCAGCGGAGAAACAGGCAGTAAGTGTGTAACTTTTCACTGATAATTTGATTGTCATCGATTCAATGGAAGGCATGTGGATGCAAGACCTTATTCGATTTTTTTTGTGTTTTTCAGAAAGATCTGGGTAAACTTGCAAGTGATCTTCAGCAATCGGGCCAAGCCATACTGGTATGCTTAGTGATCAATAGTAACAAAATGACCGTACCGGTTTTCTGCTCCATGTTTATCGTAAGGCAACAAAAAATCACATTCTCTGATAGGACGTAAATGCGAACATGTAAAAGTTAGCACTCTTGACTAAAATACGAGCTTCCTCTCGAGCCGCCGAGCGAAGCGAATGTGCGAGAGGTCTGTGAGGGGTCTGGCACGAGAACACTCGTAGACCTCTCGCACTCACTTATTGTTCACTGACTCAAAACCCGCGGGCTTCAGCGCTCGTTCCGCAGGGCCAATGAGAGCCTACTTCTAGGCTATTCGATTTCGTAACCTCTGAGCAGCGAGGAATTCATGGTGAATTAGGTTTTACTAAACGTGATAGAAATTCAGTTTATACGTGTGGATTTATACCTGTTTTGTTCGTGTCACAATTTGTGCTGGTCGTCTGTTTGTGGCGTAGAAGCAACCTTTTCTCTTGAATTTTGTCTAAGATTTTAGTACGTGTCAATATTGTTGTACAACAAAGTAATAATTGTGTATCTTTACTTCAGAGTTCTGGCGAAAGAGTTGTTAAAAGCATAGAGGAAGTGGCGACCTTTTTACAGGATGATGCTCTGTCAATTGCTGCAAAGGTTGGTGGTACTATTTCTTGTTGCGAATATCTAGTGCTTTGTAAGAATGTAAGAGACATTTGGTATTAAGAGCCTTTCAATTTTCTTGTTGGTTTCGATAACTACCAATGCCGATAAAAAAGTTGTTTAGTTGTTGTATTTGTATCCAAGATTGAAAAGGTGATAGTGTTTAAATTAAACATGGAAAATATCAGTAAACGAAACAGATTTTGTTGTAGTTTGTTGGAAAGACCCACGCGGCCATCCCTCCGATTTAGATTTTAAAGTATGGCTGTGGGCCCCTTAAAGTTAATGGTACTTTGGAAAATTAGACGCCGCACGGCCCTCTTGGCAAGTGAAGACGCCCTTTATTATTGTTTACGTTTTGTTTTATTTTTTTGTAGCACAGTACTCTTAAAGTTCCTAACTGCTTGTTATGTGTTCTGCTCGAAAATTTATCATACATCGCTCTTATGCGGCAGCTCCTTTTGGTTCCAGTCTCAAAGATGACCACTTGCTTCTTTTTGAATATTTGCTTTACTAGGGGGTAACAATGCACTGGGACAATGTGTTTGGTAATGTGGATTATTTGTTGGACTATGTCATCCGTCAGGTACATTGGAAATTTATCTGTGTATTTAGTGCTTTGGAAAGTATTTTACACTTATGAAAATTCCTGAACGTTTTATCATGTAACTCCCTTGACCGCGTTCGACTTCACCATTGCATGAATTAGATTTTGTGTAGATTTTGAAACCTTTTAAGATTGTAAAGAACGCGGCTCAATCTCCGTGAATCGACTACTGTGTGCATATCAACTCAGTCTTGTGTTGATTGTATTTTAAGCTTTATGTGTTAGGTCCTCCTTTTTCTTTGTTTAATTTGTGGCAGTATCTAGAAAGAGACATTAAGTTACCTCGAACGCCTCATCGCAACTGATTAAATATCCTCACTCCTCCCCACTTGTTGGGCTTTTAACAAGGAAACTGGACTGCACGAAGAGTATTCAGCATTGAGAGGGAAGTGGGGGGCTTAAGGTGCAGTTCTGACCTTACAAAAAAACAATAGCTTTTATATGAGAGTGGCTTTGAATTCCGTAGGTCCGATATGACGTTGGAAAGTGTAAAATTCTGTCAAACATATACCACGGGTTTACTGGATCTGTATGTTCTGAATATGCGGCCGGAATGGTAAGTGAAAAGTATAATGGTAAGAAAAGAGAAAAAAATATTGCCTAGATGAGTCAACCTTGTGTTTAAACACATGAAGTAGTCTTGAGCCTGCTATGGAGATTCCCCTACGTTCCTTACAAGTTCAAGACACCTTGCGTAGTAGCCTGCGAGCAGGCCTCACTATGAGCGCTGCAGGACGCGCTTTTTTCCGCCCGCGGGAAGATTTATTTCTCTAGCCATTTTAACCGAAAACCATTAGAGCTGAAAAATTGAACAGTGTTATCAGAGATGTTATTGACTAATTTTTGTTGTTGTTATTATGCAGAATGCCTCATGGGTAGCATCTGGTCTGAGTTCTCTTGTACTCCTCGTCTCAATTATTCTTTGCGTAAAGGCGTCTAAACATTTCTTACGGGCGAAAAAGACTGGAGTTTTTAACAAACTAGGTATGTATTTGCTTCAGTCAAACAATTTCAATGGCAACCCACATGTAAACTGGCAAACAAGGTTGTGAATTCTAGAAAAGAAATATGGGAAATAGTCAAACTATCTCTAGATCTAATTGATCCTGTCTTGGTTTGCCAAGTTTTCGCACACGATTTCAAAATATTTTTGGGCAGTTTTGCCATATTTTTTCCTTCTCCAGTGGATGATGTTTTATGAATGTCTTGTGGTGTCGCCTAGAGGACGTGCAGAACAACTTCATTCCATTTATTTTATTTCACGTCATTATGTAATTCTACTTCTTCGTCTGAAACCTCGAGGATTCACAATATGGTCATTCTTTAAAGTTAGTGTTTTATTACTAAAATCACGCAAGTTTTTAACCTAGCAGAATGCAAGTGTCTGTCTCTCATTTGATATGAATGGTGATGACAACTGCTCCAAAAGACAATTTTCATTCAAAAATAAGTATGACTGCTACGATATAGTTCACACGTGACGTCAAAAGGTGATGAAAAGGAAATAAGAACTAAACCAATGGCTCGCTCGCTAAAGGCAAAGGTTTCACTGATCTTAACTTCTTACCGTTTTGAATATGAGCTCAATCATTTCGCAATAAAACAGCCACTTTTTGAAGACAGTTTATAATAAATTAAATCCAGGATTGAAGACTCATTCTAATTTAGGTATTTGTCAAGGCGCTTGGGAGACTTCCGTCTCAATTTTTTATTTTTATTGCACCCAGAGAGCCTTAACTTAACTTAATTTAAAACATTGCCTTTTAAATCGGCAGCAAGTAAATCGCAAAGATAATGAAAATATTGTGCGTTGTTGAACATAAGTAACAACAATTCGCCAGGACGTAAGCCGGTAGTCTGCGATATGAAAGATATTTGGATACCATCGATCTTTGAGCGCGTTGTGTTTAGTCCATTGACTTATCTGTGGTCGTGCTGTGGCGAATTTCTCAGTGGTACTGCCGTATGTTAACTCCGGCATTGCCCTAGTCCAGGTTCAGCCTAGAAATAAGCCACACGGTGTTCTGATTGGTAGCGGGTTCCTAGCGAAAATTAGATACTTTCTGGGTAGGATTGGCGGAGAAGGGAGAGGAGGGTAGGGGAGGGTAGTGGGATGGAGGTATGAGGGATGCTCATCGTTTTTTTTTCCTTTTCGCTAAAACTCTCTTGACCTAATTTTCATAAACACTTTGTTTTCCAGAACCAGAGGATATGGTTCAATTGCACAGCCTCGAGGAAAGGCCGATGCATCATGCCTAGAAATTGCTTTCGCTTAGGTGCTTCAGTTAACGAAGAAATAATGGAAAAAAGAAATAAATGAAAAAAAAAAAGTGATTAAATGAAAATAAAAATAAATTTATCAAGGGTTTTTTAGTATGCAGGTTAAAATATTTTCGCGTATCCTAGGTAATGTGAATTCTGGAGCAACTAGGTCTGTATGTAGTTTTTAATGGCCTAGCTGACGGCCTTCTGCAGATGTAATATTCCACAAAAGCAATAAACAATTTTGCCAACAAGGGTACAAAGCGGTTAAGCCATGAATGGGCTGTTGTGAAAATTGATGAGGGCGTGACATTTATACCGTGGTGAACACCACGCAGTTGACAGAGGAATACTGAACACAAAATCATCTGTGAGAAAGGACATTGAAATGACAATATTTTGTTTTAGCTCACTGACTTGTTTACACAGAATAAAAATATCCCGTAAAGACCAGTTAATTTTTAAGAAAGTTTAAGGTAAACTTAAAACATTGCCAAGTGTGAATCTTGGTACACTAATAGTATTTCTACAATTTACACAATAATGTAAATTAAGGGCCATAAGACTCCTTTTAGCGTCACGAGCAATCTTAAAGCACGCGGGTTTCTTCAAAACAGCAGTGTTCCAATAAAAGCCTTTATTATAAACGAGTGCTACTAAAATCGTCTAAAAGTCACAAGCATACGAATCTGGTAACAAGTGGTTCTGCTGTGGGATCACATAGTTTTCAGGCGAAATGGAGGGCTAACTGTCAAAAAGGGAGGGGGAAGGGGAACACAGGAATATTACAGAGACTTGGGGGGGGATTAAGTAAATTTTATCGCGACAAACCAAACTCCTCAGACCCCTCCCCTGCGATAAATAATTACCAGTCCCTCAGCTTTAAGGAATTTTCACGGTCTAATTAGGTGGTGTGGTGTTGAGGCGGCTTTTTGATATATTGGGCTTTCAGACGAGTGGCTTGAGGAAAAGGTGGCTTTCTAGGGAAAGGGAGTTCATAAAGGACTCTTTAACCCGTTTCACTCCCAAGAGTTAATTAGTAATTCACCTTACTGTCTGCTATACAGGTCTTATGATGTTAGTTTGGAGAATTTGGTGTTGTATCAACTGTCAATCGCCTAATTGACATTTTTCTTTACTCCTATTACTTATCTGCGTAACATATCGAAATCGTAAGGAGAAATTCTCTCCTGGTCACTCATGGGTATTAAAGGGTTAAACCTAAAATGTGACACATGATTGTTCTTCTGAACTGTCGCCCAGTTGAAATGACTACAGTATGCATTTCTTTTGTTGAAGCCCTACAAGAACAACATTTCTTAAAAACATGGAAACTAATACAGGCTTCAAATACTGTTACGTTTGGCCCTGAAACGGGTTTCGAGTTGAAATAAAGCTCCAGTACTTGTATAGCAGTACTATACCATATCATTTTGTCTTACACTTCCACTTGAGAGGTTTATGTTGGAGATGATGCATAGGCGACTATCAGAAACTTAATGTCTTACAGGGAGGTTTGGAATTACGATCTGTGAAGTTCTATGGCGAGTTTACGTAAATCTTAATTAAGCGAGGAAGCAGAATTGAAGGGTTAACAGACCTCATTGTTTTACTACAGGAATTTCTGCAGATTTTCCGTCGGAGCTTCCATGGCTGGATGGGTTGGGGATCAAAGACAACTACGTCAACTTGGTCGACGTTAAGTCTTTAGGTGAAATTTGACCACAATTTACGGTATTACTATGGGATAAACTTATCTCCTTAAATCTGACGAGGATACGCATTCTCGTGAGCGTGTCCGGAGACATACGGGAAACAAGCCAAAGTTTTGCTGACTCTCTGCATGAGAAATATTTATGGAGTTAGATTATGTTGCAATCAGATTTATTTTTTTGACTGTGTTGAAACCGAAAGCGAAAAGTGAACGACTAAGAACTATATTAGAGTACCTCTGAAGATTACGATACAAGCATAACACTTGTGCACTCATTTCTGTCGCCCGGCTATTGACGGGTGCATTTATCACGTGCTCAGCTCGATTTAAAGTAGAGATTCTTTTTCTGTGAATCTTGGGAATGATTGGCGTTTTTCTGTTGTGAAGCCATACGGATAGAAAAGTTACCTTTATTTCAATAGGGCATTCCTTTCAGTTGTTACAAAGTGAACATTTTTATATCAAGGCCTTATATCTAGTAATGCAAGTATGTACAGAGAAACAAAAACAAGAAGGAACTAGTTCATTACAAGCAAAGTAAAATCTAAATTAAGAAATCCAAAAAATGACAAATAAAAGCATTTTCTAAAGAATTTTTAGAGCTTTTTAGCTTCGATCTGCCTTGTCGCACAACAAATGACGCTCCGATCTGTTTCCAAATGGATTCACTATAATTAAGGCTCTTTTCAAACGTTGAACTTCACATGAGGCGAACTAAACTGCAATTTTGGTCGACCCCAGCGGGTAATGTTCGACCGTTGGGTCTTTCGTAGAACATAATTCGTCGAGCCAAATTTAGAGCAGCAAAAACTAATATTTCGGTCAGAGAGATTTCAAATAAAACAATTTGAAATTTAATCATTACCACGAAAAGATCGATCTTCACACGTTCTTTCCGTCCGATGCAGACGGATAGAACGTGTTGGTCGATCCAAATTCAGTTGGACGAACTCAACCGATTTAAAAATCAAACTCAACTTGAACTTAATTCTCTCACTGGACTTCTCAAGTGAAGTTCGACGTTTGAACTGGACCTTACTGAGACATTTTCCCTGTCGATTTTACCGTGTGACCGTTGCGCCTATCCTTTTAGAGGTTCTTTAATGCTTTGATCCGGCCACTAGCGACATAATGATCTTAGCCTTAAGTGGAAGAACAAGATTGTTATGTTGCACGAGGAACACATGAAGCTTGGAAACGATCCTCGAACGACGAAGAATGTCATATGCGGAATGTCCTGCGTGACAAATTAATGGAACTAAGAAGTGCTTTTGATCTCGCACACAATGACTGGAGGTCTGTCCTTACGATTGAGTTCGTATACGCTAGATTTTGCGCTCCCACTTCGACTTGAGCTTTTATCGTGGTCATAGTCTTAGAGATTGTTCGATGATAGTATCTCTATAGCTGTGTTTTTCCTTTTTTTTTCGTAAAGATGTATGTTTTGACGGCTTTCACGAAAGTCCTTAATTGCACGCGTGCTAGGGCGTATCTGCCAACTGATTTTTTTTAAAGTCTTTTTATAATTCCATAAATGCAAAAAAGGTCGCAACAATATTTGGTATGTCCCTTATGGGTACAAATCCTAAAGCTGCATTGCTGATGTCGGGCCGCATGATAATTTAATTTGCGGCGATGTACCATGGCTTCGAAGTAAACTCACATTGAGTGGCACAAAAGTCTTACACTGTTGCAGTTCGTCCACGACCATGTCTAACATCTGCATCAACGTGTAGTGAGTTCTCACCCTTCCTTCGAGGCGCGAAGGAATGGAACTGCTGACGCAACTGGTGGCTAATTGCAGATGTGCGCAAGCTGAAGTGCTGTGCCGTGGCGAACACTGGGTAAAACGAATGACTGACACTGTTGCGTAACCTGCGGGGTATCGAACGTATTTCTTTCTTGAATCGACGGTGTCTGAATGGATAGAGAAACGGGTTCGCCAGCGAATTCAGGTTAAAACAGGTGACTGGAAGCCAACCACCAATAATGAATAAAGAACGCATGCTCGGGAATGACTCGGCAGCGTCAAGAATTTCAGAGAAGGAATATACGTAGACTAGCAGTAGAACAGTTGGTAAAGTGAATAGGATAAAATTTGATGACACCAGCACTGCTATTTTCCTCGCTAGTCTCGCTTCACGTTTAATGCCGAACTGCATGCTGGATCTCCTTGCATAGCAGAATATCAAAATGTAAAGTCCCAGACTGATAAGGTAAAGAAGTACAAATATGGCCGAGATGCTTAAAGTTATGTTAGATGTTTGTAACAGATGTTTTCCTGTATGGAAGGGCATCGTGCACTGGAACCATCTGTGATATTCCAGCTTTCTTACGCCAAACAAAGGCAAGCTCGCAAAGGTGATCGCTCCTGTCCACACAAGAATTAAAATGGTGAGCAAAGTTCTGGTTTTAACCTTGCCTCTGCATCTCTGGAAGTACACTATGACAAGATATCTTTCTACAGTTAGCATGAGAGAGGTGAATACAGCTGTAACCTGGCCTATAGTGAATACCATGCCCATGTATGTGCAGGTGGAGGTGTCCGTTTCCATAACAACTCGCGGCTTAACGTTTGAGTCACTGAATATGTTGTATTTGGCGATCATCACGCTGTGAACACCAATCAGAATATCGCTTAACGCCATACTGCCAACCAAGACGAATGAAATGTTATTCCTTAACAGTCTTGACGTCATAATCACAATGAGAACAGACATGTTGAGAACAACAATCAATCCTCCTAAGGCATACTGTGAAAGGAACAGTTTTCGAGGAAAGTCGTACAACTTTGTTAAATACGGTACAACGACATCGCGGTGGTAGCAATCCGAGCTGAAGTCACAGAAGCATTGTGGCGAGAAGCCTTGTCTCACAAATTGCGCAGAAACTCCATAATTTACTGCCTTAGGGTAGTAGTAAAACTCCTCGAGAGTTACGTGACACTTCATCTCGCTTATCTCTCCTTCCCCACTCAAGCCATTTCCACTGAATTCCTCGTAATCTCCCATTTCCTCATCTCCTGACATTGTTTCATTTCCGGGAATCTTAAGGAGGTCGCAGGCAGAGCAGTGCGAGCTCCACGTAACCCCAAGAATCTCTTTGAGTTCGGGCATGTGAAGGATATGCTGATTGGGTATCCAGCCCTCGTTGCCGTTAATTTTGAGAACTTCAAGAAATGGCATGTCTCCTGTGGGATCCCCGTTCCATTCCTTCAGATTGTTGTTTTGGAGATCTCTGGATTATGAAAAATTACTTCTTTTGAATAAAATGAACTTTTGTTTAATAAAAAGAGTACTTTCTCTTTGTAACGAATAACGAACAATCAGGCTGGTACGTCATAGAAATTACCTGAAAACTAGGTAGGATTTACGAGAGAGGATGAAGCGAAAAGACTGGATCCTTCATATTAGTATCATCCCCGAAAGAATTCCTCATATGCATGTTATTTAACGACTGTCTCGTTTTCGGAGATCTAAGGAAGACCTGAAAATAACCATTTTTTTGTTGCAATCTTTGCTTTCTTTTGGACATCTATCCGTTCACCATCAAAGACAAGCAAGCAGCGTGCACAGTTCACGGAGCATTATTCCCTGTGGATTTAATACCTACGTCCATGGAATCGTTTCTCAAGGGATAGAGGCTGTAAGGGGAATTCAGTCTCATCACATGCCTGTCCGTTGCTCTGTACAAGTGTTCCAGTATTTTAACCAAAAATTAGTTAGGAAAGGATTCATTAAAAAACTTACAAGATACGCAGATTAGTCAAGCCTTTGAATGCATGTTCGTTGATGATTTCAATGCTGTTGTTTGACAAAGATCTGAAAGGAAAAACATTTCTCTTTGGTTAATTCCAAATGAGATATTCGACTCTTTGTGGAAAATACGTAAACTACGTAAAAAAAAATATCGCTTTGTTGCATCTGGCAGTTATAAATCAGATCAGCAAATATACTAAATAAGTAAACGTTGTGTTACTATGTTGTGAGAATCCTATGCAGTGTCATAGGGGATTATTACAAAGTACCCGAATCCCGTCGGAATGCGTCTGTCGTGACTCATATACCATGAATTAATTGTCCCCACCTAAGGTCTTAAGACGTTGATGAGGCCCAGCCAATGAAAAACAAAAAAAAAATGCTTTTACACTGCAATGAACCTCGCACAAAACATTAATCATAACGCGGGCACTTACAGAAACTCGAGGTTGTGAAGGTTTGTAAAGATTTCCCTTGGTATTACTCTGATTCCATTATCAGCAAAGGACCTGCGGATCGAAAAATTGTTGTTATATCAAACAAATCTCACTTTCGAGTTAATGACAGTGTCCTTGCGGACACCCATTATCAATGATCTTAAAAAGGCGAATTTAATAAATAATTGAACATAGATAAGCGGACATATTACTGCGACATAACGCGGGGGCAAGTCACTTCGGCGGAAATAAGAAACTTTCGTTGGTAAATTAGATTTTGGAGGAATTACCTCGAAGTACATCTACAAGGTGCTTCTTCATCCACTGTTTACAGATCAAATGGGAATTCGGAATGTTTTTTTATTTGTAGGGGGAGGAAAACCAGAGAATCCGGGGGAAAACACCTCTGGAGCAAGAACGCGAATTAACCATAAACTGAGATTAGTGGTGAGGAATATAAGCACCCTAATCACTGCGCTGTTCCCTGCTCCGGCGCTTCGTGTTTTAAAACCGCGTGCAGTAATCCGTGAAGCTTTCATGATATTTCAGAGTTCTTAAAGGTGGTTGTGCTCTTAATTCAAGCCTCTTAGTCTTGCTGTCAATTCTCAATTGTTTATGGATTTCATAGAACATTCCTTGAAAATGTGCAAATCTCTCTTAATAATATGGACCATAGAAGTGCTTTAGTATTTAGTGCGACAAAACCGAGGTCATTACTATCGATGTTTACGGTTTTCAATTGATATTTTCTATTTTCAAAAGGGAAAAATTAACGGGGATAGTTCGTAGGGATTAAACTTTAATAAGAGGAAGCCTCAAAGCGTTGAATGTAGTCTAAACATTGCATTTAAAAAGACATGAAACAAATTAACTACACCTATTCATTCTCCCTTGCCTGGAGCATGCAACAAAGTTTTGAGATAACTGATCTTCTTTTACGAAGCGTTCTCCAGTGCAGGCTACTAACACTTAAAAAGAAAAGCGAGTCGCTTAGTCTGTATTTCTGGCCAGGAAGTGTTTCAGCCATCGCTTACATTTTATCAATTTTTTTTTCTTAACAATCATTTGCGTAGCAATGCAAGAGTGCTCTACGATACGTTCTTTTTCTTTCTTTTTTTTAGATCCTCTAAATTTTTTGTTTTAAGTGTCTCACTCATTACTTACAAAAAGTGGAGTTGCCTGGAAGAGTTGAATTCTACCGGCTCCTCCAGTTTGTTCACGACACATCTTCCATAGACACGATTCTTGTCATCGTGCGCGCACCAACACTGTGAAGAACACGAAGTCCAGCTGGAAAGATTCCTCATTTGCGTGATCTCTCCACGACAGTAACATCGGCAGAACGCAAAAAATGCCAGTAAAAGTAGAAATGTGTTCATCCTGTATCAAGAAAAAAAAATAACCAGATTTCTTTCTTTCTGTGTTTATCACATCACCTTTGGTGTCATATGGATGCACGATGAAAACGATCGTCAGTAATATAACTACACTTGATAGGTTAAAAAAAAAATACAACTCACAGTCATTCAGTGTTTTTTTTTCTTTTCAGCAAAATAAATGTGTTTGTCAGGGCAGTTTGTCCTTTAATCTTACAGTTTTTACCAAAAAAATCAGGACTCAAACCGTTTAAATCAGTGCTATTATTGTTCTGGGGTAGTCTGGTTATCGACGAAACATTTCGATTCGTAATTTAAGTGTGTTTCATTTTAGGGATCACTGCCTATCGATTTTTGCCATCGGTTGTCAGTTACCTTGTCGAGTTTGCTTGCTACTCTCCAAGAAGAAAGAAATGAACTGTATTGCCTGTTTGCAAAGCAAGGTGTTCAAATGTCTGCTGTCTATTTTCGTAGGCATTGGACAATGCTTTAATGTAAACATATTGTTAATTTGCAAGGGGAAATATGTCCTGATTTATAAGCGTGACAAATATGATTTCCCCTTGCCAAGCTATGAACAAATTTGGCTTTTAACCGAAATAATAAGAGTTTTCCTTTAAAGGCGGAAACTAGCATTTTGTTTAAGAAAACTGTATTTAGGAAAGTAAGTTATTTTAAGCCTGCTTTTAAATATTTTTTGGTGTCGCCACCACATTTTCGCCATTTTCTAGTATTATAAATGTTAATTGTTTTGCGAATCCTTTACAGTCGCCAGCGATAGAAATCTGGATCCAGGAGCAATACAGGCGATTAATGCCGTGCTCATAATACAAAATGTAGGGGTTATTTTGACGGTGCAAAGTTTGTGTGCGAAGCAATTAACAACTTGTCAAAAAAAATACAACATCTTGATGGAGGTTTTTACCTATTTGAATGGAAGATCATCATCTGGTATCGAAATTGAATCGAAAAGATATCTTGATTCATTTAAGTTTCGCATTTCGTATATTATGCTAGGTGCGAGCGATGTTTCCGTGCTCAATAGTAAGATGAATAATGCATGAATTAAGGCTTCAGGAGATTACTTCATTATCATCAGAGGCTCTAGGAAAAGCATGGCACTCCCCTCTGTTTCAAAATTATCCGTATATAGGCGGAACAAATTAAAATTGCATGGTAGGTGGACTATTTTGGCACAAAATTATCTTGTTCTGACAAAGTAAGGTTGTATTAGTCAAATATGCTTTTTGTATTTCGAGCATCAAGTGACAGGGATTTTATCATATTTAGATTTGCTTCCCTTCTGTTTCCTTCCTAATGGTAAATTTTGAAAAGGCTCTGCTCTACAGTTGAAAAATTGCCATTGCAAATATCCTGTCTGACTTGATTTTTTCCTCTACGTTCAAAGATCATTAAAAAAAAAAAAATTTACATCACGACATCTGCTTATCCTAAACCTGGAACTCTAAAGATCTAATGAGCAAAACTTGAAAGGAAATCTAGATTAAAAACAGCTTGTAAAAGAGCCTTTTATATTCGACTGTCAATTGGAGCCTTAAAGGAAGAAAAGAGTAGCGAATAAAAAAGTTATGGAGCCTCAAGTGACCATATTTTCATCACTACTCTACAGGAAGATAAACGAAGTTCTTTCATGACCTGGCATCCTGTCTGTCGCTTTTTAATTAAAAACGAGTTTTTGAGGCGGCAGAAGGCTCTTGGAAGACAAATTCTGGGCTAAAATATAAATTTTTTGTTCGCGTTTAGTCCCAGCTGCTTACAAGCTGTTTAAAACTCGGTTACTATACATGAGTTTTTTTCACGCGTAGACGAAAGAAAAACTAATTTTTTGCTCCCTTAACCAGTCCGGTCAACTAATGGATACTGAACATCCGTGTTCCGACCTCAGAATTAGTTTACATTTGCAATTTTGTTTCTGAGTGAGTACTGAAAGCCTTATCAATTACATATCACACTTAAATGCTCAAAAGGAGAGCTTTCGACGCGCTCCCACAAGAAAATATATCAGCTATAAAGGAAAAAATGTTTAAGGTAACAGCGATAATATCCTGAAGATAAAAAAGCAAATTCGATCGTTTGGCATCTCAAACCTAAAGCCTCTTTTTGAGTGAACAATCATGATCGTTTTAATCAGGAGTTGAATCATAGCATTCAGTTGAATAGCTGAATTTAAATTGCAGCGGGGAAAGGTGACACTATTAGTAAGATAGCAAAGAGTTCAGGCGCAATTTTCGATTAAAAGGAATAAATCCCGATCGCTCTTTTCTACCTTAGATAACTTCTGTTGTGCTTAGGAAGACTCACCTGCAGAAAAAATGATGCGAGGTCGAATATCTTTTAGTCAAAACTCAATATATCATTGGATTTTGTGGTTATCCTGCTTAAAAAATGATTATGAAGACGTTATGTCTCTGAGTTGTCTCACGGTTGCAGTTACTAATTCCCGATCCTTCGAGCACAAACTTAAGGGAATGATTTCATTAAGAATGGCCTGGTCAGCTTTATCAATCTCTTTTACAGTGATAGCTCATTCCGGTCAAAACAATTAATCAAAGTTTTTATTTATTTCCTGTTGGGTGGATGTCTGAATTTATAAATTTTTTCGGTTTTACGACTAGAAGGAAGAGCCACCTGTAATGTTTAAATAGCTACCTATTGCAGCGAGGGGTAGTAAGAAGTTTTGTTTATCAGAGATTTAACGTTTTCCATGTTTCTCAACGATTTGTGGTTTTATTTCATTTTAAAATTTGAAAGAGGATATTTTATCGTCGAGGTTTCCTCCATACCTAACTTCACCATCGTAGTTATATATTCGAGCTTTGAGGCGTTTTTTTTTTATTATTTTCTTATGATATTTTTAGAGTGCGTCAGTAACGATAACGTCGGCTCGTTTTTTTCCTTCAAAATATGGAACAAAATCAGTAGTAAGGTACCAGTTTACGCTGAAATAAATATGTGTTTTTAGAACATGCCTACTGCCTTTTCCTCTGTGGTTCTCTTTCTTGCTCAAATATATTTGACAAAGTCAAGCTTTATGAAATTTTGGATGATCTTCCTTTATTTTTTCATCAAAACAGGCCTAGACAAGCCCCTTTCATTTATTAAATGGCAATGTGAATGATAATATTTATTTACATAAGAAACTTTGCTGCTAGTTTCTCATCTCATTGTGGAGATAAAAATGATGGGAAAGCCATCTATTTGACTTGATTAAAGAGCATGAAATACTACGCTTGTTTAGTCGGGTGCTGTGTTGATGGTTACGAAGTATATATATAAAAAAAACGTTCTTTATTAGAATTTTTCATTATTGAGATTGTTTCCCTCACTCTATTACATGTTCACGCTTATCAAAGCGAAGCTGTAAGCGTCGTTTATTTCCGGCCAAGGAATAAGTCGCAAACATTATTGCAGGCTAGGCTACATATT